GTGGATCCACCCAGCGCCTATGCCTCCCCCTTGTCGTTAGGCGCAGAATCGGGCTTTGAGACAGAGCCCTCTGCAGGTTGATCACCCTTATGGGTGCCATTCTGTTTGGGGATACTCTCAGTAACCATTTCCTGTGCATTCTTACGCGGGTTCGGCTTGGAACTGGGCTTCAGGTCAGAGATCGGCTTGGCACCAATGTCAGAGACATTGGGCTTCGCCGATTCTACTATTTTTGTGCGAGCAGTGAGATTCGGGAGGGAGATCTTGTCCATCTCGAGTTCGCGATGAAGAGCGTGAGGATAAATTCTTTCGAATTTCCTCACATATCTCATCTTACCCTTGATGAGGTGAACCTCCCTCAACGAAATCAAATTCGCGTCTCGCCCCACGAATTTGCGAAGATACGAAACAGCACGTTTGTAATGCTTCGCATCGGTCACTTCTCGGGCCTTCCCAACCTTCGAGCCTTTGTCCGTTTCCGGGGGATCAACAGATTCCCCATCGTCTGACATCACCTCTGTTGCGGATTGCCTCCGAAGTTTGTCGGCTGGTGCCGACACAGGACCTGTTGAGGACGGACTGGAAGTCGGTCGGACAATAGGGTCCACACTTCTTTCGTCACTGCTATGGCAATCCCCCTGTGTAGACTTGGCTGGGATCACCGTGGTGTCCAGCTCATCATCAGTTAGGGTAAGATTTAATAACAGTTCCTCCGGAAGCGTTTCCCCGCATTGCTCTTCCGGTACCAGCCTGTCCAACTAATCGAAGAGTTCCTTGCTCTGTTCCTCTAGACTATCACGGATAGCGCGTAGAGTCCCACGTAGGTCGTCCCCTCCCAGAACTACAGTCCTGTCAGTCAAAGACTGATTTTCATCAGTATTGACATTCTCGTTGCCAAAGGAATATTCGGTTCGTCAACGTTTTGGTTTGTAATTGATGCACTTGTAGCAGGTACGGCTGTAGGTGCCAAGGCATCCACACCTAGAACAGCCGGATCACAATCGCTTGATCTCGACGACACGTGGCTTGTGACCTCACCAACGATTGCCGCCGGTACTGGGTTATTAACTCCCTGCACCGTAACTTTATTCTTTTTGCTTCTTTTTCCCATCTTAGTTAATTTATTTAAGGGCACTACCCCGATCCATTTTGGTCCACGGGGGATCCGAAGATCCCCAAGGTATCCATGAAGTGTAGAGAAAAGTTGATCTAGGAGGCCTAGCTCAGTTTTTCTCTGCACATCAAGGATATCCCCTTCCCATCCGCCACCCGGGAAGACGCGCCTAGTAGATTGGCAACTCCCCTAGGGGGTACGTCCCCTAAGAAAAAATGATATCCAAACTCTGGAAAACTTTTAGAAAAATCTTATCGTTTTTAATAAACTAGAGTTAAGGTTTTTTAATTTTTTAAAACATTTATAAAATTACATTTTTAAATAATTATATATTTATTTGTTTACTTTTGTATTTTATTATTATGTGCCTCATCGAAATATTGATTTTATACTCCATGGTTCTTTGGACCAAATCCGTTTCAGATAAATTGGACTCATTTACAAATATTCGCCCGTCCGTCTGCGTGTCTGTCAGGCTGGTTGATGTGCAAGATAATTCTCGAAGGGAGTAACCGATTTCCTTCAAACTTTGCACATCGTAAAATTTCTTCCAAACATAAATCTAATATCGGTTCACTCCTTCTGGTACCTCCCCCACAAAATGGTCTAAATTTTGCTGAAAATTAATTGGGAACAGGCCATCGGATTTGAACCAAACTTTGACACCCTAATATTTTAACTAAACCTGTATAATGTTGCAAGATGGGACTTATCTGAAAGCTTTTAAATCTCATATCCATCAAGAACCGTGTATATGCCTCCCCAATCTATTTTGGATAAAATTATTCATGTATCGCTATATTTTGAGACGCATTTACCCAGGAATATGGCTTATAAATGTGTATATTTATATACAAAATAAAGCGATTATACACGCGGAATTCTCAAATTATGTATTTGCAGATGTTTCTACTTTCAAAATACTTTTGACCGCAATTTTATTGGGCGGATTTGAACACGGCTGGTCTCAGTAGATTCAGCACGTAAAAAAAAACTAAAATCACGCGGGATATACATGAGATATACATAAATCGAAGTGAAATCACGAGTCCTACGGTCCTATAATAAGTTTAGGGCTTCAACTAGCTCGTCCGAAAACAGGGAAATTTCGGCTTCAAAATGTCAGAATCCGGCTTAGTTGAATGCGGTGGAAATATCGAAAAATCATACATTAGAACTATATTGCCAAGTGGTGTTCTTCAATTCAGTCGTTGACCACAAGTCTGTAAATGGTGTATTTTAATCATAAATTAGAAATAATCAATAATTCGAGAAAACAATCTGATAGGGTGGGTTTTGAAGATGTGTATTCCTCAAGGCAAAATCCTATGTCATTATCTTTCATTCTCATGACGTTCAGTAATGCGGAGTGATTTGAAAGGTAATAGCAATGATTGTCTCAAAAAACAATTTCAGTTATCCGATATTTTCAGTTATTCGAAGTTTCACATATGCGGAGTAAATTGTGGGCCATTAACCTAAAATAATATTGGTACTGGAAATCTATTTACATATCCTATATTTTTCACTTAAGCGACTTACAGTAAAGCGGAGTCGACTGTACATTTTGATTGGGGTAACGCAGAGAGCTGGAAACCTAAAATTTAGAATGTGGGTCACTGACGGGGAGTTAGAAAGAAGTACCAAAGGGTTTTTGGTACTAAATTTAGTGGTGGTGATGGTATGGGGGTAGTCTTGAAAAGGTGTTAGAAAAGGAACCTGTACGTATTTGCTAAAATATATAATAGGAATTCTGATCAATTTTAAATCTGTGTAATGGAAATAAGTAAGAGATTTCGGGAAAATAGTGATTATGTGTATGAAGAGTACTTAATGGTAAAAAACTTGATATTAGATGTAGGAATAGAAGTGGATTTCAGAACTATAGTACATCAAATTATACCGTATTCACGATTTCCATAAGAAATATTATTATTTTTTATACCGTTCACCACACTGTAGTACTGGGCATTATGTCTTTGTGCATATGTTTGTAACAGTCAAAAGGAATCGATATAGACCCATGGTTCCTTTTGAGAATATGCATAGAATCACTTTCTGAGTCGATTTACGCATGTCCGTCCGTCTATCCGTCCGCCTGTCCGTGTATTTTTGTGAACAAAGTACATGTCGCATTTACGATTTGGATGAAATTTGGCACATGTCACTTATTTTGTCCAAGGACGAACCCTGTTGAAATTGGAGAAAATCGGTTCAGATTTAGATATAGCTCCCATATAGTTTCGTCCGATTTTAGGTAAATGGTGCACCAAACTCCCAATATTTGTCCGATTGAGACAAAATTTTGCACAGAGTATTGAATCAGGTCTAAATTGATACATGCCAAGATTGAAATCGGCTCTGATTTAGATATAGCTCCCATATATAGTGTCGTCCGATTTTATGTAATGAAGCACCAAAAAGTAAAATTTAGGCTAATTGGCACAACATTTTGCACAGCGTACTGAATTAGGTCCAAATTTGTTTATGCGAAGTTTTGTTGAAATATGTTCTGATTTAGATATAGCTCCCATATATAGTTTCCTCCGATTTTATGTAAATGGTGCACTATACGATCGATGTTTGTCCAAATCTTTTGCACAGAGTACTGAATTAGGTCTAGATTGATGCATGTCAAGGTTTTTATTGGACTTTGTGTCGAGATAAATTTTGGATAGCACACTGTGTTGCAGCATAGCAAATGGTGGATGCCACGGTTGCTCAAATACGTCCATTTATATGTTGATCTTTTACATAAGTTGCTCGTTGATTGGCATTCAATTTTTCATTAATTTCAGATTGGTACCCAAAATGGTGAAGGGTATCATATAGTCGGTCCCATCCGACTTTTGAACTTTCCTTGCTGGTTTTTTGTATTCCCTTTCCGCATACGAAGTAGCGGCCATTTTGCTAGTCTATTTATATTTTCTTCAGTAGAAGCTCTACATCCACCCTTCTCAAACCCACATCGAAATAAATATAAAACACTTGATTATTATTATAGAATACACCATAGTTAGTATATTTTTGTCCGTAAAATTTATTTCCGATTTGTTGTTGTTTTTTATTTTTTTGTTTTGCAATAACAAAACTAAGTCTAAAAATTGTATGTGTGTTTTTGTTCTTCTAAAAAATGAAACTTAAAATTAACAGCATTCTTATTTTGTTACAATGGTTGCAGTTGTGATTATGCTTATTATGGTCATATCGATGAGGATGTCTATGGGTATGTATGTTTGTATGTGTTAATGCTAATTTGTAATTAATTTACAATCGATCTAAACTACAATTATGATATTTATTATTATTATTGTATTAAATTAGTTAATGTATATGTATATCTATGTTTTTTTTTTTTTTTTTTTTTTTTTGCATTATAAACATTAGAGAAAAAAGTCAACATTATTTTGTGATTTTGTTTAATAACAAACAATTTATCGCATAAAAAGAAAATAAAGTTAAATAAATATCATTCTAATGGGATAATAGAATAGTATTTGTGTAAAATTTCAGATATATTAGATAATATAAAGATTAACAGAAACAGATTTGGTAATAATGTAAATGATATAACAATTCTTAAAGTTTAGTATAAGTGTGCTAGTTTTTTGTTTGTTTTGTAAATGGGATATTTATTGTTTGTGTAAAGAGACTAACTACCCAGCAAGGGCACACACAGATAGAGTAGTAACGTGGTCAGAATCAATTCAATAGTAAAATAAATGATAGCTAATCAATTTGCCATAAAATAATGCAATATATGTGTACACAGGCGTTGTACCAGGGGGCAAATGTAATGCAAAAGGAATTGAAAAACTGGACGCAACGAAGGAAACAGCAAACACAAATGATGCTGCACTGTCTCCACCAGTGCAGTGAGCAAATGTCAGTTATTCGAATCCACATTCAACTGCAGGTAATAGTTTTGTTGTGAGCCAAATGGTCGACTACAACTACTGCTGTCGTCGTCATCATCATCGTCGTCACTGTCATCGTTGTTGCGTCTGTTATGTTGTTGCTGGCCATCTTCGTCATACGCCCATTGCATTTCTTCGCCAAATTTGTGTAAATGTGCTAGATTTTTGTAGACATGCAATTTTCTATTGTCAATATACGATTCGCAGGGATAACACCAAACGGATAAATCACTAAAGCTCAAAGCCATCGGATGGGATGTTTCGATATTGTGGAACATCATATGTTCCATAACATAACGGCCGCACAACACTTGGTGGCAACTGAGACACATCCAGTTTTCAGCCACCGAGGAACATTCATTGCATGGTTGATTTGTATTTATTGCTATGTTTTGGAGGGCGAGGGAGAGAGAAAGAGACACGATAGAATCACATTAACAATTATTTCTTTTGAATATATATAAAGGTACAAATTATTATAAAAGTACAATTACAGAGCACAGAAAATAAAAAATTCGCAAATGTAATGATTGCAAAAAAGTATATAAATGCCTTCAATTACAACAATGAAAATATAAAATATAAATTATGAAAACAAATATTTTATAACAATAATTAAGTTTAATGGAATTAAAGACTATCCCCTTAGCTATATTTGGATATGTAGAACCAAAATCTACATCTTATTTTTACTCCTGAATGTGATGAAAAGCTTTGAAAATAAATATAAGCAAACAATAATAAAATCTGAAGAAACGTTATTTCCATGGCAGTCGATTCTATGCACCGGATTGACTTGGAGGAAATTTCCGACCAAGAATTGTCAACTCAAATACTACATATTATGCATATGGAAATTTCCGGCAAAAGGTAAACCAAAGCCGAGGTATTTTTTTTATTGTGCTTAAATACGTGGAATAAATAACGTCAAAAAGTATAATTTTTTATTCTTGTTCTTTGCATAAATACGAATTTAAAGGCTATAAATGCAGACACTGCAGAAATAAAAACTGCAAACTTAAAAAAGTCGCGTAAGCTACGTCGCCTGAGTGACCAAGAAAAATCCTTTGCAAATTAAGGATAGGCCAAATTTTGAAAGTGCAATATTAATGCTTGATATCTCTTATTAATGTAAAGTATATTTAAAGTTCAAAATGTTCTCGCAATTCGCAGAGTTTCCCATTATTAGCAATGATTTCTAAAGTCATGTATATTTGAAGTCGCGTGAGTGACCGCTCTTTAGTGGCTTTTATCTCAAAAGATAAAAACCAGAGGCTCTTAAATTCACTGATAGTACTCCTAAAGTGGCACAAAAAGTATTGAGGGTGGATAGTAAAACATGTATTTGTGTTTGATTTATTTAACATTTAAAGTTTGATTTTGCCTCCAAAAGTCTTGTAAGTGACTGCGGAAGTGTCCATATATAACTCTAGTAGCTATGAATTAAGTTGAAATATTTGTAATGAACTTTAAACTGACCACTTAAATTACAAAGGAATTAAATAAAATATTTTTTTTTTCCAATATGGCACAGGCACCCCGAAAAGTTTACTCTGCGCTGGAATTGTAGGGAACCCAGAATCTTCGTATCGTTTGTAAAAAACGCATCTAATACAACGTCTTAGTCCAAAAATGAGACACCCTTAAAGTCTTCTCATTTTGTTTCTCTTCTACATACAACGTATGTAGAGAGAGGTTCCGTTGGAACAAGATTGAACGCCTAAATCATATGAAGTAGGCATGAATAGCATTCACATTGAAGCAGTCCCCATGTTATGGGCCAATATCATATGAAAGCAGTTTTTAAAGTCCACCCGCTACCAGGCTTCCTCTGATATGATTATTTTCTTAACATAAATTTATTTTTGCAACAAAGAAAACCGTTTGTTCTAAAACAATTTCATTAGACTACTTTGAACACGCTGATTACCATGGAAACGGGCCATAAAATCGGGCATATATATATTCAAACCGATTACTTTTGTTAAGAACTGGACACACAGTCTTCTCCTCCTTTGGAAAAGCTACTGAGGTTGACTTCGCACGTGACGTATGAATTCTATCTATTAAGAAGTCACTCGCAATGTCTATTCGAATAGTTCCGAGAGGACTTCCGAAAGAATTTGAGATTCCTTTTAATTAGAATAAATTCCTTGTCAGTGATCAAGTCTCCCGTCCGATAAACCGGTTGCAGAAATTAAATGCTATCCGTTAAATCTTCTTGTCAGAGATCTCTCCTTGTCAAAGATCTCTTTCGAAGTATTCTGGATATTCCATGATTAATAAAGTTAATGATATAACTACAGCACGCATAAGGATCTGGGTGCAGTGACACTGAGATTCCTCTTAATTAGAATAAATTCCTTGTCAGTGCTCTCCGTTAAATCTTCTTGTCAGAGATGTCTCTCGAAGTATTCTGGTTACTCCACGATTTGACTTATTAATATATTTAATGATATAACTACCGCACGCATAATTATCTAAGTGCAGTGACAATATTGTTGGATTGTATGCGTTGACCATTTTGTCTTCAAATCTTAGTTTGAAGAAAATGTTAGATTTTTTAACGGCGATCTAAGATCTAATAAATAATTTTCATATGTTAGATTTATATTTTCGTGTGACAGGAAATTGTCATCTATTTAATCCAAAAATGGCGATGGATTCGTATTCGGCTTCAACTATGAATAAATTGTCACAAGGTTATGACTTATTTTTCATTTGTTGGACACCAGCGAATTTAATAAATATTGAAAATAAAAAAATATTTTATGAAAGAGTATTGATAAAACTACAATGCGTGGACATGAAATAATGATTTTCTAATGAAACGTAAACGTATATCATTGAATGAACCAAAAACACAAAACTAAATTAAAAAAATACTTATATTCTTTCGCTTACATTTTGGCGCATCCTCTGGATGCAGCTGTGATAAATGAGGACAATTCTTTAAAGGCACAACAGCAAACATTTCATTATTTTCAAATGCCTATTTGAATGTCGCGCGCATTTGTATTATATTTCCAAGTATTTGGACGTGATGCATTTTAAGAAATGAAACAGACAAATGTTATGTTGTGATTAGACAATCAATTTTGAATTTGGCATAGACGTTAGACGTTAATTACCTGCATGTGCTCTGTGAGAAATTCGGTTAGAGTTTTGACTTTTACCTTCGGTTTACTGCCACTTGCCTCTAAAGATATATTCGATTGGGCGTCGCCGGAACCACCAGCAGCACCCTGTACATCATCCCTTGTAATATCTAAATTTTGTAAAGTAACAGAAAGAAAATCCTCATTGTTGTTCTCGCCCGACACCAGGGGTAACCGTTTGCCAAAGGCTAAACTTTTCCAATAACGCTCTTGGACACTAATGCAGTTCTGTAGTGTTTCCATGCAGCTCAAGTAGGCAACCGTGGGTGGACGCGCAGAACTGCCGTTTAATTGCACTGATGGTATGGGATCACCTAGCAATGACTTGGTGCACATAGTCATAGCATAGGAAATTGAATTGACATTATAACCACCCTCTAGGCAGACTATTATGCGACCATTGGCCAGAGCCGAGAGCCAGTGTGTAAAGAGACCATAAGCTTCAGGTGTTACTTTGCAACCACCAAGTGGATCTCCAATAGCAGCATCAAAGCCGGCCGATACTAAAACTAATTGTGGGTCAAACTCATATGCGATGGGCATTATTATATGCTGGAAGGCCATTATGTATTCCAAATCGCCCATGCCTTTCTGTAAGTGGCAAAAAGAGAAAGGGGAAAAATATATTACTTATTAGTGGGATTACTGGGATCAAGTCGGACTATATTAATTAAAACCAAAATACAAATGGTATCTCAAATACGACGAATACTTCAAAATACAAACCTTATTCCATGGAATGTTTACATTAAATCCCACACCAGCACCTTTGCCCACGCAATCATAGTCACCATCTTTACTCTTGGGGAAGAATGAGGCATTGTCATAACGATGTATACTTATATATAAAACTTGTGGATTGCCCTCGAATATGTGCTGGGTACCATTACCATGATGAACATCCCAATCAACAATAAGAACTCTTTTCAGCCCATGATCACGGATGGCATACTGAGCCGCAATAGCCACATTATTAAAAATACAAAAGCCATGTGGTACATCGGATTCGGCATGATGACCCGGAGGCCTGACAATGCAAACGCCACTACGTGCCTCTCCCGTCACCACTTTATCCACAACTTGCAACACAGAGCCGGCAGCTAGTGTGGCACATTCAAAAGTTTTTGGATGGAAGTAAACGGAATTGAATTTGGCACCCATATTCTGCAATTCATCTTTTTCACCGATACGTCTTATGGAATTCAAATGGGATCTGGTATGAGCCAAACAAATTTCGTCTGTTGTCGCCGAGCGGGAGGGTAGTTTTTGCATGCGATCTAATAACTTATAGTCTTGATGCATTTCATAGATTTTTTGTATACGTGCCGGTTGTTCGGGGTGTCCTTCTTCATAGGTGTTGGAATGCTGTAACATAAGTTCGTCGTAGACATAACAGACACGAATCTTGGGTGAAAATAATTTTGTTTCTAGAAAAGAAAGAGATTGGGAATATATTAAAAAAAACATTTACTTTGAAGAAAATATTTCCACCACATACCCGCTTTTAGTCTTTTCAATCGTTGTGCATTACGTTCAATCACATCTAATGGTATTACCGGACCAGTACCTCTGGTAGGGAAGCGTTCTGGCAATGGTGGTCCCCCAATAAATACACGACTAACTTTGTGTAAATTATTTTGTGGATTGACATTATTTATATCTTCCATTGTATAGGTGCCTTGAGCTTGCAAACACTTCCAATACGAACGATGGGCAAAAATGCAGTTAAGAATTGACTCTTGAATGGAGGCACAAGGTGGTTCTAGTTTCTCTACTAAGGCAGGACATGGTTCACCTAAAAGGGCTCTCAATGTTAAAGCTGCACCTTCGGCCAGTGAATCCAAACAATAGCCACCCTCTAAAACAACAGCCAAACGAGAATTGGCCAACTTCAGAAGAGGATTTATAAGGTGGCTATAAAAGGCTGGTGTTACTTCCATTTCGCCCTCAGGACAACCCAAGGCGGCATCATAACCAGCAGACACAATAATTATTTCTGGCTGAAATTCACAGGCCACCGGTATTAAGATCTGTTGGAATATGGCCAAGTAATCGCCATTTGTCATGCCCGTTTTGTTGAGGGGTAAATTAAAGTTATAACCCAAACCGGGGCCATAGCCAATGGCATCATAATCTGATTCCTTTAGATTTGGCCAGAAGGTGCCGTGTTCAAAACGGTGAATTGAAAAATATAGAACTCTGAAAAAACAAATAATTCCAAAAATGTTTTGATTGTTTACTTTGCGAAAAACAACTCACCTTGGGTCGTGATAGAAAAATCTTTGTGTTCCTTGGCCATGATGTACATCCCAATCAATAATCATAATCTTATTTACTTTCAGTATATCGAGGGCGTATTGTGTAGCAATGGCCACATTATTGAAAAAACAATAACTTGAATGAGAAGCAAGTAAAATGATTTTATACAGAAATGCTTTTTATTTAGTAGTTTTCTGGAGGACTTACCCATTAAATTCAGCCTTCATCGCATGATGTCCCGGTGGTCGTATTATGGCCATGCCATTTTGAATATGACCACTGACAACATTTTCTACTAAATCTATTGTTGATCCGGCTGCCAATAGAGACAATTCAAATGTAGTCTGGCAAAAAGCAAGAAAGATTTCAATAGACAAACAACATGCATTGCAATTATATAATATGCCAAACTTACAGGATGTATATAAACTGAGTCATAATGTGAACTGAAATCTTCCATTTTCTCATCGTCATGTACACCGGATGTTTTTTCTAAAAGTTTGTAATGTTCCTCACTGTGCAAAAGCATGATCTCATCTTTTGTTGCGCGTCGCGATGATATAAGCTGGCATCGTTCCACCAAATTTAATTCTCGACAACTGCAAATAAATATAATTTAGAAGAAAAGATGAGGGAACAGGATTATATTTAATATATCTTAATGATATCAGTAATAAATTCGAAAATATATCCTGCCCTGAGACATAAGAGTGTAGCTGCGACTCAATCAAACAATGTTTGTTGCTGCGGCTTTATATGGAAATTATTAAATTACTTTAAGTGCAATAAAATGTCTGGTTAGACAAAATTCATTTGAAACGAGGCATTAAATCTAACAGTGTACACATATGTATATGTGTACATTTCTCATTAAAAATCCTAATGAACTAAATTCGTACATACATAGATTTAAATGTAAATTATTACCCACCACAAGAACTAAAACGAAAGAACATACTTGGAAAAAGTTATAAAAAAAGAACGAATGAAGAAATAGGTAGAAATTAATTAAATCCAAATAAGCGAATCATGTTTTGTTGAATTAGACTGTACACCATTCATGATAAATTCTAAATGAAATCAAAAAATAACATCAGTGATTTTGGAAAAATTAAACCTTTGAGTCAGAGTACATTAGTCAACGCTTAAAAGAGAGCTACCAATTAGGTAGCTACCAGAGAGAGGTTACAGCTAATGACTTTAAGACATAATTTGATTTACGGACCGGACACAACTTTGACAATGTCAAGCTTCCAGCTGGAAATTTTAGCATATCGACGCCTCCGAAGAATAGTATGCTAAGTCTGAAAAGTGAGTTTTTCAGTAGAAGCTCTCAAAGCATGGAAGTTTCTTATATCGTACGTGCCATGCTAAGTAAATTTTTGCTTATAACTTTGGTTTGGATTGGCCGATGATTACCAAAATTTAAGAGAATTTAAATTAAGGACCGTAGTATCTAAAAACGTAAAGAACTTTAAAACATGCTAAGTCGACTTAGCATACTATGGTTCGGAGGCGTCGATATATGCATAGCATATCAAATGTGTTATTTGGGAAAATAGTTATGATTCTTTTTCAAATTTCACAAATGACATTCTTTTAGCAATAACACTTATTATCACTCATTTGGGACTTTCTTTTTTAAGTTAATCAAAATTGAGTTATCGAAATGAGCCAGAAACGGAAACTGTTTGTGCAATCAAGATAATAATAAACCAGTGAGCGGAGTAGTATAATCGGGGTCCGACCATATGATACCCCACACAACTACCATGGAACTCGGACTTTCTGCAGACTTATATTCCGACCCTGGGCAATATTTTGTGATATTTTCACTCTATTGACCGATTGAAGGTCAAAAGCTCCTCTTTCTTACCCTGGCATATTTTCCGAATCATGTTTTTTATACTGAAACCTGTTGGATATTTGACACGCCAAATATTGATAACCGATAATTATCAGAAAAGTTGTTATTTTTGTAAAAGGTTGGCTGTTGGTGAAAGTTATTTCCTGAAAATATTGACAGAAAACGGAACAAGGAAAATATATTAATTATTAATAAAGATTGAAAGAGGGTAGCCGGAGAAACTGTGCCAATTCTCTGGGCTTTAGCCATAAATCTATAGGCAATAGACTTGTAAGCTCGGACGGACAATTGAATAGATGCTGTGTGTCGTGAAGCCTTTGCTGGCAGGAGACACTCCTATTTAGAATTCCGGGGACAATGCGCACTCGATACCAAGTGAGAACATTGCTGTAACCGGACCTTAGTTGTGCCAGAATCGAACGGGTTTGCCTTGGAAGAAGCCTCTCACTGTCCGAAATTGCAGGAGGATTTTGGAGCAAAACTTTTTTTGCATCTGTAGCCAGTTGATGCACGGATTTCATCGCGTTCGCTATCAACAATCTGTTAACAGCCGATTGAATGTCGTATTGTATGTCACCACCCGGACCAGACCACCCCCCAGATTTTTATAAGAATAGTAAATCTAAATTTTTGATCAGATCCCCTTCCCCGTGTGATGTGTTGTAATGTTCAGCCTATAATAGCCTAGAACGACTAGAAAACAAGATAAAAATAAAATCGTTGGTCCATTTCATTCCCTAAATTTCATCTATCACCAATTTTCATCTATCTATACCCTCTAGTGTGACAATGTTAATACTAAACAATATGATTATAGCAGGGGTCTACAAATATTTATGTTTACCTCCATCATCCGGTTGCATACAAATAACAATTGGTATCAATTTAAAGGTCAGCCACTCTTCTTGCAAATCCTGTCAACTACTCCGGTATATGTCCTTCAGAAGAATGCAAATTTTACCAATTTTTACACAAAACAGTGGGTCGATTTGGATCGCTAAATAATTATTGGCCGATCTTCAACAAAATAGTCATGCTTATTCATTCTATGGTCAGACCCCTTTCTGTGTGTAAAATTTCGTAATATTCGGGTCTAATTGTGGTCTCTAGAGCGACCAAAAAACTGATAAAGTTATTGGTCCATTTTATCCCCTAAACATTAACCGATAATTACAAAAACAATAAGGGTCTTCATTAACCAGAACTCCTCCCACATGTACATTTTCTTGGCGATTGGTCCATAACTGTGGGCTGTACCGTGTTTACAAATTATAATGGACAGACGGACGGACGGAAGGACACATATATCTAGATCGAGCTAGTCGAGATATGACGCTCGGTATACTATAAATTGGGTCTAGGACAAATATTTCACGGCGTTACAAATTCTTGGTGCCACACAAAGTTATAATACCCTAACAACATAGTTGCGTCGGGTATAAACACGGAAATATTCAAGACATTCTCTTTATCTTCTTTTATCTCTTTAATTTTTCCTGTTAAAGAAACTGACGTATAAACATTGTAAATAAAAAAGTCTACATACAGGATGTCACCAGTCTGTAGTGTCCACCCTTCCTTCGGGAATCTCTGAATATTGCAATAAATATTATCTACATTTATTCAATGAACATTCATGAATGGTGATCACATAAAGCGCTTGCTCGATTATATCACTAACGATTTCAAATGCCTGGAATATCTTAAGCCTAAAATAATTTAGTTTCAACCTCATACATACGAATTTGAAGTATATATTTAACTACATACCGATCCAATACTCTTATAAAACGTTCTGGGCATTCTGGGTGTTTGTCATCCCAAAGGCAACGGTGTTGGGACATTGATTCATCATAAACCAGCCCTGTTGGACGTTGTTTCAAAAATTTCGCATTGACAGCCTGCAAAGAAGCGAAAGATCAATTATTAATTTAATGACAACTTAATTTAATTTATATTTACATTTTGGAATATATCCTTAACGGTGCCATCCAATTGTGTGGGTTGTTGCATTTTCAATAGCTTAGCCTTACGCTTTGCCTCCTGTAGTGCTGCATTCGGCTTGCGTGTCTCAACTGATGATTTGACCATTGCTCGCGTTTGTATTTTAGATTTTTGTGCTCCCCGTCGTGTCACAATTGGTGAACTCTGATAAGAATGGAGAATTAAATTTTATTTATGTATCAAAACAAAATAATATTTTTTTGCTTCTCAAGTGCAATGCAGCAGTTGTTTACGTTTAGATAATGTTTTTTAAATTTATATCTAAAAAAGTTAAACAAAGAAAAAAAACGATGTTTCTTTGCAAAGTTATCTTTACTTCGTAACTTTATAAGTTTTATTAGTGTTTGCTGTTAGCAGTCGGCCGCTAAAAGCGCACAACAGTTAAGATTAAAAGCCGCCACTGAACTGATTCATTCATCAACAAAATGTTTTGAATCCAGTTCAGTTTACCTTGTACTTCTCATGCTCCCACATAAACGTGAATGAACGTGAGCTCAACCACTACTGGTGGTATCTTTTGTTTGGCCACAAAAAAATGCCAAACAACAAGACAAGCTTTTGTTTGGGTGTTATGGCGTTCTTGGTTTTGTATTTTATTTTTGTAGAGGAGTATGTACGTATGTAAATATATATACATGCTTATTAATTTCAGTTACCGGTGAATTTTCGCACTATGAATTATTTTTTATTTTTGCCATATCTGAATATAGTATAGGGTTTTGACGTCATTATATTGTTACCGTTTTGGGAGAGTTAAATGACGATAAGATAATCTAACTATTAGTATATTTTCCTAAAGGGAAAGTACTTTTTTTCAGTTATGTTTTAGAAACAGTCATCCTTGAAATAAAGACATACAGAAATATTTGCGGGGTTTTGTGTACTCCCCAAGCAGTGTATTTCCCAAACCCTTATGTATTGCGTATAAATATATGACTAAAAATTGAATTTAATTAGAAAAATAGTCTTTGCATATCAATTTTTGTTGTTCCCACATAATTAGGGACAAATAAAATAGATATATAATTTTAAATCAATGCAAAATATTGTCAAAAATCATCACAATAGCCAAAGAGGAACAACCACACTAACATCATAACTTCAGAGAGCTGTCCATCCCCTCAGATATTCTTGTAGCGAAGAAGAATTTCCGCAAAATCGTCACGGCTCTATATAGCCTTGCTGGACGTATACCCAAAGTCGAAGCATCCCGGCATAGGCCATGGTTTCGCCCATGAAACATGAATGCTTCGTCATACTATCCTTAAAAGCCCAAGGTTTAGATAATTTCCTCATGAAGTCAAAAGGCTAGTATGCGAGAATAAAATCCAAATTGTTACTAGCCCACTTGAAGAAGTCTCGATAGTACGACTGTCACATTGGTGGATGACATCGGAGTGGACAATTTAACATCAGCTCTAGATTTGTTGTTAGTCTCCCACATTATTTTTTAAACCTGAAGCATGGAAGGGTGTCAACAGTGGTGAATCGTACAGGTTGATTTCACAACTATCGCAAATAGTAAAGAGGCACTATTTCTCTCTTCCATAAGAATAAGTTTTACATAACCAACTTCAGCATTATACGCCATTTCCACACACACATTAGTAGAGGACATCTATCTTTCTCATATTCCACGACTGCATGGATGTCGTTTAGAGGTTGATGCAGTACCTGGTTGGCTGTTATTGGCGTTTTACACCTTTGACATAGCATTATGAACAGACTTCCCCCACCCAGGTTCGACCGGGACAAGTGTACACCCCTAGATCAACAGACCTATCAGATATGATTAAATAGCATTCACAGATTCTGCTAGGTTTAAATAGCATTCATACATATCCCGGATACCGTATTAATGCTATAATCGGAGATTAACCCAAAGCAGGTTGGCTCCGGTACCGGTTGCTTTGAAATCTCCATCTTGGGGTTAACCTCAATAAGACAAAAATTCTACTCTTCACTAGGAAACGTAAGAAAGCTTGATTCCCTATGCCCACTATGGAACACTCATTAGAAGTCAAATACTTTGACCACAAAGTACACCTCAAGTTGCTTTGAACGTAATCCCAAAATCTCCAAACACTGGATATTGACGACGTAAGTGCAAAAATATCCAACTAATTAGCCTCAACCATCAACTTCTTCCGAAAGCGTAATCTAAAATAATCCACTGCAAAGTATACTGTGTCACTTTTCAGTTCCTAGACGCGAGAAGTCTATTTAGAACTTGACAAATGAGGTCTTTGATAACCTCCTTAATTTCTCCTCGCATTCCATATACGTCAACCAGAAGGTGAAAGATAGGAATAAAGTTCTTAAGCATTTTTTACTGGCACCTCTTGGGGTAAGGATAAAGAAACGTTGGTAACGACATTCAAGGCCATAGGTCGTTCCATCCTTATTGGTGCTGCCATCGTCTGGACTTCTTTCGTTAGCGACAAACAAAAAAAAAATAATGCACACCGAATTGCAACCGGCTGTGTCTAGATAACGAACGTCGATCACCTCTACGAAGAGACCAGGATGCTATCAGTCAAGCAACATAATGTTTTGTTGACTAGACAGTTCCTTATGTTGTTGTATTTTCGGTTGGCTCAACGCGAACATTCTGCTTAGCCCTTGTATGGCTACAGATGCATCAAGGTCCTACTCCAACATCCTATGTCGGACAGTGAGAGAGAGGCTTCTTCCCAGGCAATTTTAGCACAGCTAAGATCCGGGTACAGCAAAGTTCTCAATTCGTATCGAGAGCGTATTGTCCCCGAAATCCTAAATAAGTTTATCACTACCACTAGTCGGTCTGTCAATATGGCTCCAAAATAGAGAGGGCATTGCTGCAAATGTTAACTGCGAGAAATTAGATACAACCAACTCATATAAACTTAGCAAAGTTTGTAGAGTTCTAGGGTTCTAGGACATGGTCCAATAAATGGGAAAGAAAAGCTGATGAAGACGCTCGTGGGGGGTCACAGTATATGTACAGTCGAAACCGCTTATAACGACGATCAAGGGACCGGAAAAATTGGCGTTATAAGCGATATGTCGTTATAAACGATATTAATTGCAGAACTTTTCTCGGAACTTTTGGATAAGTCGTTATAATAGATATTTCGTTAACATGGTAGCGGTGTTAATTATATGATTTTATTCTCGGTTTATTCGTTACTTCTATCTTTGTTGCTGTAAATATGAAATTTTATGTGATCAGTTACCTAAAAAAACAATTGAAAGTAATTCATAGTTGTTCATAGTTCATAGTTGCAAACTTTCTTTTGACGTCCACTGTAGAAAAAAGCCTTCTTTCTCTTTTTTTCTCGTTCACCAACACTGGTATATTTACAATAACAAACTACAAAAACAATTCTGGTGACATCAAAACGACAAGAAATAGGACAAAACGATGACTATTTACATATTAATTTTATTACATACACACACAATCATACATTCAACAATTACTTACCATTGTGGGATTCTTGTTTTTTTAGTTGTTGTGCGTGAATTTTCTAAGACAAATTCTTAGACAGACTGGCAGGAGGCGGCAGGCAAAATGGCAGGTGATTTGTTGTTCTTACTAAATATTCTACAGAAAAGAAAATATTGTAAACACTCACGCACGTTTCTCAACCCAAAACACATCAACAACAACCACTGGACATTGACTGGTTATGATTGATTTTTGTTTAAAGATTTTATTTTTAATTTTGTATATGCTTGAGAAATTTAATTACAAAATTTGCAAACTACAATATTTTATGCGTATGTATAACGCATAGCATAGAGATTGGATTATTGATTTTGTTATTTCTCAATTTAGTTACACACACTATTTGTATCACACAATATTCACAATTATTTTCTTTTCATTTGATATCACAATTTTTATATACATATGTTTATTTGTTTTATCTTTCTTTTTTGAAGGTTTCTTGTTTATAATTGTTTTTTAGGCAGCCGTCGTTTGTTTCATCTGAAGATATTTAATGGTAATTCTTTTGCTTACTCCCGGAAAATTCTTTTACATGAGGCTGACACACTAAAACAACATAGACAAGCACACTGAACACAATCAAGTCGTTTGTCGTATGGCTTTCATTTTACACAGCAAAAGCTTTTTTTTAAAGTTTTGTGAAGTTCTTAGTAAAAGCTATAGCTTTTTAAACAAGAAACTACACACACGCACTTCTATGTTCTGATCATGTTTCTATTCGATATTGCAATATGCAACTAAAAATTACAGCTGCAATCTAATTTATCACGATTTGCAAAAAAAAAACGAAGTACAGCATCCTAGCCAGATAGAAAAAGCGCCAACTACATTATTGTGTTTGGAAAATTTGCCAATGACAGGTTTGGCAAGACCGTCATTTTGTAAAGGTACTATTAAAACCGAAATTGTACTTTTTAGTTCACAGGGACATGAATAACATTTGATCGACGATCAATGATAATAATAAGAAATCTTTTTTTAATAAGAAATCTTTATTTGGAAAATCTTTTGATAAGTTATGTTTTTAGACAAATTTTCTGTTTTTATATCAGAGAGAATTCATAAATTGTAAAATTTTTGTTTTTCCATCTTTGATAATGAACCGATGGCCGATGTTGCCATATTGAACGGTGATTTTGACAGCACAGATGATTTCACCCGTGCTGTCAAAATGTTTTCTATTTTATATTAATCGTGTGAAAACTTAAACATAAAAATTAATATTATAGGGAAATTTCAATAAAAATTACTTGATATGGTAGCAAAACATTTATCTTAAAAACAATTCACAATAACCTTGCAGTGAAAATCATATTCTTGTGCTATCGATGTATGATGTATCGATTACTTTAAACTTTTCAGCTGATTCGTTGTTATGCATTACCTTCATTCGTAAACAAAACAGTTAGCGGTCATTTTGCTTCGAGTTTGTTATTTATCACCCATTTTCTACTTTCTCCCTCCGTGCATGAATTTGGAATGTTTTTAAATTTGGTCGGTTCATTCATGGTAAAGGTAAATAGCGCGCAGAAGAGGCTCCCCCAACCAACCTGGAAAGAATTGAACGAATTGGGCTTTGGAATAGGAAAAATTCTTACCAATAGGTAGGAATATATTTATATACATATGTACATATATTGTTTTCAATTATTTTATGAATTTTGTGAGGCATAGTCCAGACGATCATCGGTCATGTCATGCCATAAGTTCCTTGCCTTCGCAAATCCAACGTGGAATATTATATTGCAAATTGCCTGGAAGTACGTTGTTTATGATCTGTGATAATTATGATCGTTTTTTTTTTTTTTTTTTTGCATAAATTGTCTTTCTCCAAGAAGCGAAATGAACAGAACAAATTGTTCCTTTTTTATTCTGGCATTATAGGGTATTCTGGCATTCTGGCCATAGGGTAGGATATATTTTGTTGACAAAAGCGACCCTACCTTGTATAATTGTAACCATGGTTTGCGCTATGCTTTTACAAATTGATTAAAAATCTATTTGAGCGCACCTTTAATTTTTAATATAATTATATTTACAGATCTTTTTTGATGAGTAATTCGTAAAACAATATCATCGTCATCATGATTCCCGCCAACATTAAACGTGAAATTCCTGAATTTGTGTGTCATTACCTGGCGTTTGTCGATTGTTTTGTTGATCTTCAGAGACAAAAAACATGGTGGGTTTTTACGAAAAATTTAAAGTTTTTCGAGTTTTATCAAAAAACATTAGTGGCTAGTATAAATCTTTCGAACACCTGCCTACAAAATGTAAAGGATCAATTATTGGCTTATGATGGCCCCAAATGTTCCTCATATGATGAGAATAGCGGCTTAAATTCGTCCAATATATGTATTGGAAAATATGTTTTCCACACTATGAATGTACTCAAAGTATACGCCATTATAAAATGTTGGGATAGATGTGTAATCCTGCAGCGCTTAACCAACATGGCTGGATACAAAGTAATGGGCGAATACGAAAATCTGCATAGCTTTCGAATCATACATGGACCCATCAAGTACTCTTCATTATTGGAGCTGGATTTTGGTAATGGATCTGTACTACAGTGTAATTTTGAAAAAGAAGAAGTAGAAATCAACGATTTTGAAAACCAAAGACTTGAATTAAAACAGTTGTTGGATCGCATACGTAGTGCCAAGTCAGAGTTGAAGCTACACGAGAGCATAACGGCGCAATCATTCGAACGGCTACAAAATAGATTGGCCTATGGTTTACCACATGTCCGAAGTTTGAAATTGGAGGAAAAGCAGAAACTGACACGTTGTGGTGATATCTGGAAACGAATCACTTCTCAAAATGATCTAGTAATTGGTATACCATTAATAAATCAATGTTCAGCACCGAACCTTTCGATTATCCACAACATACAGCCTCTGTTAGATATCAGGTCTCAGAACGAGGAAACATCTATATCGGTTGAGTATCGTTTGTATCAACTGAAAATGTCATTTTATGATTTAGATAGTATTGAAACGTTTCTACAATCAGAGGATGAGCAACTGCAGAGTGACACTTGGAGCTCAAATCTTAAATGTCAGCTGCTTCCCGAATCATTTGGCATTCTTGTAGTGAAGTTTAAGATAAGCGACGTTATAGACCTTAAACAATGTCCAATTCTGCTTCACTACGATGTATCAAAAGATTGTCGAACAACAATCACCAGCACACCATTGCAAATATATTTGGGAATTTTGGATTTCCACAATATTCTCTATAACCAACGATTCGAATTTGAAATTAGTTTCAAAGAAGATACTTTACACCAAGACTTCTTAGCCACAGCCATGTCATCATTTGAAATTAATCTAAAAATCAGCTTCCAACAGCATCATGATTTGGAGATTTTCGAAAGTTGTTTGCAGGACAAATTTGGGTTTGTTAAATTACCATGCCTTACGGAAAATATCTTAAATAACAGAGTATATTACAATCGTTTACCATGTTCCCAGTGGTATGGATGTTTGTGTTTGCGCTACAAGGAAGTGGAAGAAGACGAAAATGATTACGCAATAACATTTTGGAAATTCTATGTTCCAACTGTGGATAATGCTGTAATATTTTTGAAGCTATTCCTAAACGACTTAGTTATGCTAAAGTGTAATATCATTTCAATACAGAACGTGAAGAAATATTTGCCAGAAGCTCAACATGTTGCAGAATTTGAAAACGCTTTGAGGGAAGAACTGCAATCACTCATGCAACTTTGTAAGGAAGACAGAACGAAGGCGAATTTTGAACGCTGGTCAAAATTATTTATTGAATTTCAAAGAAAACAATTGCAGTCTGATCAACTGTATAAATATTTAAGGGATAAACCGTTGAACAATTCGTAAATGGTGTTTTGATTGTACATTTAATTGATTTAAAAAAAGCAACTAAAATGGTAATACAACAGCGATACAATTAGTTGTCTCGGTGAATTTCTCTAGTTATTGTTGTATCTTTATACTTTTCTAAATTCAGGAGAATTTTTTTATTAATTTTTTTTTTTTTGATTTTTAATAAAATATTTATGTTTTAAATTAAATATTTGAAAATTTCTATCGCTTTCGGTGTTATATCCTAATGTGGACTGAGTTTTACTTTGAGGGAAAAATAATTCAAACGAATTAAACTCCTTGTACATTAGAACTTTTTACCGGGTTAACCTACTTTATGAGGATTTATTTGGCATATATGCAAAGGAAATGACAATTGAAACCCACTGGGTTAACGAAATCCGGATAAATGTAAACGTACTGTTAGTGTAAATAAAAAAACCAAAATTTTGTGAAACTGAGAATGGGGGTCCTTAATGTAATTTTGGTTCAAAAATTATTAATAAGGTCACCCAGTTAGCGAACGTCAGCTGTTTTTCTTAAGTCTATTGTTATGGAAATGAATGGAACTCAATTTACAATAATGAATTTTGACAGCAAACTTGAGAGGCAGTTGGTATCCAGCTGGTCTCCCTGGGCGACCTTATTTATAGGCCTTGTTTGGTATCAAATTCTAGACTCGATCTAAGACCACCTAATTTCATGTAATTTCTATCATGCCTTTTTATCTATCTTTGTCTTATTTGTTTAAAAACATTTATACCATGTACAGACGAGCGTTGTTCGCTCTCTCAATCGTTATTCGACGTTATTCGTTATTCGAATTATGAAGTAATTACTTAGTTCCCCATACAAAATTGTCTGAGCGAACTCCGACTTTTGTACGTTGTTCAATTCGAATAACTCTCTGAATAACCAAGAAATTTGTCCCATCCCTAACAATTAAGAGTATTTATCGAAAATAAATTAATTTTGACAGCATGATATTATTTATAAAATTTTCAAACTTTTTCAGTAAAATTGAAAATGATGAATGAAAAGTAAAAAATTGTATATGCATTTGTTTTCCCTTGGTTCTAATTAGCGTACAAAACAAGAAACAAATGTGGGGCAACTCAAACAAAAAATTCTCCAAATTTTTATATGTGACAGTATGTGACATTTGAATTGAGAAAATATAAAAATGTATTAAAAACAACAACATTTCCAGAAAAAATGGAAAACATGAATGAAAAGTAAATAGATATGGGTTCATACTATATTCAGGAGAAAGAGAATTATTTGTTCCATTTAGATCCCTAAAACAAGAAACAAAAAGTTTGAAAAAAAAAACTCTGATGACATGAATTATGAATAGTGTTGTATGAACGGGTTAATTCATGTACGTAATTCTGAGAGCGAACTACGTTGTTCGGATGCCCGTCAGAACATGACATAAACATATATAAGTTTGGGTTTTCCTATTTATGCGGGATGCATGTGTTCTTTTTTTTCATGCATTATTAGCGTGGTTTTATATTTATCGGGATCGGTGTTGAGAGTTTCTCTCTCTTGAGAGAGTAATTAGAGTTGCGCTATTTTTAATTTTGTAACAAGCGTACTTTTTGTTCACAAAAGGTACGAATTGACATAAACGTACCAAAACAAAAAGTATATTTTTTATTGTTCGTGAATAAATTTATGCTTAAATTATAACATATATTATTTATGCAAATAATTGGTATAATTATTGGCCAATATTTCTCGATAATTATGATTTATTATCATTTGAAGTAGAATTTTAGGTACCTTTTCGTACTTTTTTGTTCCTACCTGTGGTAATGTTTTCCAACACAATTCATAATTTACCACTGAGAGAGAGAGAAACTCTCAACAACACCGATCCCGATCCCGATAAATATAAAACCACGCTTACATACTTTTCAAAAGAAATTACAGCTTTTGGCGCCCTTTACAAAATGGGTGTGTTATTCCGTACGAAATCAGTGTTGTATTTAATTAGTATTATCCGATTCTCCCATGCATCTTTCTAAACACACAGTTTCTTTAAAAACGGTTCTTCGCGCTTATACGTAAACAGAATTTTTCTTCGTCCATTTGCTTTGAATTCATTGTTTTTATCTTTTCGTCCAATTTAAGCACAGCGTTTCAGGCGCACAAAGAAGCATCACGAAATTTCACAAGGAATTGGTTCATCAGTGACGCTTGTTGTTTTTTTTTTAAATTAATGAAAAATAAAATTTAGTTTAGAGAGAAAAACAACAAAATCATGAGCTTAAGTTTAGTTCGGAAACGGCGTAATTCAGGTGAAGCCGTAAATGATTCCCAAAGTAACAACGCAGTACCTAATAAGCGCCGATATACAGGCTCCCAACATAATTCGGTAAGTTGTAGAAATGGAAGCATGCCGAGGAATGTTGCAAATACTATTCCGTTGTATATTGTTTTAGTCACAATCTCAACGTGCCAACACCAGTATCATCCAAGATAAGCGATGTGGCAAAATCCTGTTGATGCACCTAACAAACTTTATGTGCCACTCGAATCTAATAGTCGAATTCCATTCACGGGTGAATTTTCTGGTGGGTAGTAATGGCAGTGGCAAAAGTGCTATACTTGCCGCTTTGGTCTTGGGTTTAGGAGGAAGTGCAAAAACCACCAACAGATCCCGCAGTGCAAAAGGTTATTGTGATATAAGCTTGAAAATTAATTTTTTATTAATATCTCATAAATTTACAGCATTCATAAAAAATGGCGAAACGACCGCTAAAATTGAAATAGTTTTGGCTAATGATGGTCCACAGCCATACGAACCCGATGTGTATGGAAATAAAATAATCATAGTGAGGACAATTTCGATGTCTTCTGGCTCCTATGTAATAAAAAATGAATCCGGAAACGTCATCACGAAGAAAGTGGACGATTTGCACAGAATACTTATGTATCATAACGTTCAAGTGGATAATCCAGTGTTTGTGCTGAACCAGGATAGTGCTAGAGAATTCTTAAAGGAGTATGTTATTCCCAGGCGATTAAACAAAGTTAAAATCATTGTTTTGTTTTTATATTCTTAGACTAGAGCCTGCGAAGAACTACCAGCTATTCCTTAAGGCTACGCAGATTGACATAGTTTATGAGAAATTGAATGATTCTCTTCGTCTACACAAAGACCATTTACAAGAATTGAAAAATTATGAGATTGTAAGTATGCATATAATCCATATCATGTATAAGGTATAAGGAAGCCTGATCATTCGAAATCTGTTAACATTTTCCAAATTATAAGAAAACAATAGTAGAAAAACAAAAATAGTTGATTTTATAATCAAAATCATCTCATCTATATCTTTTTCAGAAATTGAAAAAAGAAAGAGAGGACATAGCCGAACATGAACGCAAACTGGATGAACTTTTATCATTTGAAAAATTAAAGGATAATCTCAAGAATTTGGAAACTCAGCTTGCTTGGCAATTCGTTAAGCAATGCGAATGTGAGCTTCAAGAAATAAGTGATAAACTTTTAAAGTACAGTGAAAAGGAACGTGAACTACAAAATTTAATACAAAACAAAGACGAAGTTTATAAATTATTAAGTCAAGAGATTAGGTATTTTATTTAAAAATTTTATATGGTTATAAACATATTTAATATTTTACATTTAATTTAAGGAAAGAGGAGGAAGATATAAATTTGAAAAATAGCAATTATGACAAAGTCAACAGACAGTATAGAGAAATTAAAAATAAAGTGGATGAACTGAAAAAACGCACAACCGATTTGAAAAACACTAAAGATATACTAAAAAAGAAGAAATCTCGGCTAGAGAGCCAAATAGAAGAAATAAAGAAATACATCAATGAAAAATCTCAAGGGTAAGTAGTAGTAAGTTATTTAAATGGTTATAGCCAAATTAAAAAAATCGATTTTTCTTTCATTTGTTTTTTATTTTAAAGTACGTCAAAATGGATTTTTTTTATAATTGATGTTTTAATTCCGTTTCATTTAAGACATCGTTTTTTTAGATCCTTAGCCCAAAAACGTTTAGATAAAAAAATCTCACAAAATAATTTCATATAAATATTAAAAATATTTTTTATGTTTCTACCTTAGACGTGGACTTTTTAAACATATTTTTTCATGCTCCTACCTTAGGCGTGAAATTTTTAGAAATATTGTTTCATGCTCCTACCTATGGCGTCTATCTATTTTTATGGTTCCTCTAGGCTTTTTTAATAAAATTGTATGCATATAAATAACAATCCATGTTCATTTATTTTGTTAAGCAATCAAGATGACGTCGACGCTTTGCGGGCTCAAAATCAGAACGAAATAACAAAACTTCGCCAGCAATGTAAAAATCACGTAGATCCAATGATTGAAAATATTAAACGTGAACTTAAACTTCACATGGAGAGCAAAGAAAAGAAGGAACAAGTTGTAAGTGAAATTAGGCGGCAACAAAGAGATTGTGAAGGCGAAATACGTAAGTTGTATAAATTAATCTCAAATTTAGTATTACACCATATAATTTCTATCTTTTTAGGTATTCGTAATGGGCAGATAGCAAATATTAGAGCAAGTGCCAAAAACAAAATATTAATATATGGAAATCATATGCCCGCACTTTTAAAGGACATACAAAATGCCTATTCCCAAGGTCTGTTTTCTAAGTTACCGAGAGGACCAATTGGCAGTTATGTGGATGTACCAAACAGTCAGTTCCGAGATATAGTTGAAAACGCTATCGGCAGTGGTTTGCTGGGAGCATTTCTTGTTAACAATACAAAGGATAGGCAAATTCTAGAAAAAATATTCGCAAAATATGAAATTCGCCGTCCGATTGTTATAACTACAACATTTTCGGATAAGGTAACATATATCGTTATTTTTACATTTAACATTTGACTTTGATTGCATATGCTTGTTTGCAGGTATATGATGTTAGTGCCGGTTGTGTAAATCCACCCAAAGGAACACGTTTGCTTTTGCAAGAAATCAAATGTTCTGATGCAACCGTAATGAATTGCCTAATCGATCGTTTACGCATAGAATCTATTTTGCTTACAAATAGTAAGGAAATAGCTGAAGCTATTACTTCTGACAATGATCATGTGCCCAAAAATCTATTGCGAGTTATAGTGCTCAAAGAAGGCAATATTTTGCTGGAATATTACCCTAAACCAAATTATCGAATGTATTCTACTAAAATAAAACCAGCCAATTTTATACAAGTTAATATCGAAGAACGTATTCGGTAAATTGGTCGACTTTAAATTTGTAATTATGTAATTATACTCTATATGTGAATATATCTCCTCGTTTATAGGGATCTTGAAGGTGAAAAGCGTGCATTGGAGGAAAAATTAAAAATCTTTGAAAAAGACCTTAGTCACATGAGCAATGAAATACCCCAGGATGCAAAGCACATACACGAAAAGCGGGAACTTTTGGCGAAACAAGAAAATGCCCGCAGAGATATTATGGAAAGAATAGATGAACTGGACAGAATTGAATATGCTGATTATAGTAACGAGATTTTACTATTGGTAAGACGAAAATAAGTAAATCGAAAGACAATTGTACTGGTATTAATGTTTAAAAAAACAGCAAAAGGAAATGGAAGAGTACGAAGCTCGACTGGGAGATATTGAACAAAAACTAAGTGAAACCAGTGGTCTATTGTCCGATGTTAACAATGAAAAAATTCATGTCGATGAAGAGCTTCTAACCAAAGAAAACGAACTTCAGGAAATTAAAAATGATATTGAGGCCTTTAAGGTTTGTCCTTTCATCTATATCCATTCAACATACTTTAACATTCTACGATAAATATATATATTTCATCAGTCGAATGTAGATCGCAAGAAAATGAAGCTACGTAGTGTTAATAGTAACGATTCTACATATCGTGTCAAATTGTCCGAGATCCAGGAGGTTATTAATAAACTAAAAAGAGATCAGAATGATTTATCTAAGAAAACAGATGCTTACATTAAATCGGCTGTAGAGAAGGGTGAACGGGTAGAAGGCGACAAAAGTGAGGAACAACTACAAGATGAGATATCAAAAATCAAAGCCAAACTCAAACACGGTAAGCCGGTCAGCTTGGATCCTGAATCTATGCGCCAACTGATTATGACTAAAAAGGAGGCATTGGAGGCCAATGTAGGCAAATATGACAACATAAAACATTCCATTTATTCAGTAAGTGTTATAATTTGATGGCATTTCATAGACTTGACATAATGAATATAATTCTAGCTGAGAAAATCGTTAAAATTCCGCTTTGACTTTTTGAAAAAGCTAAAGGAACACATGGCATTGCTTTTGCAATTAGCGTTTAGTGTAAGTATATAGTGGAACTTTAGGATGAAGTTCTATATGTAATATTTGTTGTTTATTGTTTCGTTTCTCCAGATGATTTTGAGATTACGTAATTTTGAAGGTTCATTAGATGTTAATCACCAAGAGAAAACTCTGAAACTATCTGTTATTCCTCGAGATCATAATAAAAATGCTGTGTCCAACACAAAATCTTTGTCTGGGGGAGAACGTTCATATAGTACTGTAGCGTTTCTCATATCATTGTGGTCATGTGTTGATCATCCATTCTATTTCTTGGATGAGTACGATGTGTTTACGGTAAGCAAGAAACTAGTAAAAAAGTTTTGTACAGTTCACAATGATCCAATTTTTATTAGGACGAAGTTAATCGAGAGTATATGACACGTTTGCTTATTGATGAAGGACGTAAACGGCCACTTCGACAGTATTCATTCTTAACACCCCAGGATATGGCATTGATGTCTGAAGATTTTATAAAAATATTACGGTAATTAATAACTTCATCAATATTTAAAAACATATTGTAATATTTTATATTTATACAGGCTTGGCGAACCAGATCGAGGTTGAAATTAGATGTAGCAGACTGGATACCTAATGCCATTTTTTAATGCAACTGGATTTGCAATAATTTTATTCATATTTAACTTTTGTTTACTTCAAATTATTTAATATTGGCTTTCATGTTTGGACATGTTTTTCGGTTTATTCCACAACAAAATATATAAGGAAGATAGTGTACTTGTCATCCAAGAAATATTATAGTTGTATATTAATAAATAATGTTCAAATATGAATAATCCATTCATGGGGGAGGATGTAGAAAGAGTTCGAATATATAAAAATACTTTGAAATGCACATTATTGTTTAATATCTGTGTATTACAAAGAGACTGCAGCTAGGGGATCTGGCTTTGTGCGTTTCGGCAATGTTGCCGCCCTTAAATATGGATTGTCAATGTTGGGATTCTCTAAAATGGCTTTGTTGGTCGTTGAGTTGGGCTTTATATCATTTTCTGGTTTGACTTCCTTTTCTGGCTTTTCGGTTTTTTTCTCAGGTTCATCATTGCCACCACCACTGCCGCTACCTTCACCATTGTCATTGCTTTCTCCTTCTTCATTGCCACTTTCATTCTCATCATCATCTACGTATACAAAATTAACAATCATTTCGAATTTAAATAAATATTAAAAATATATGTCCAAATACCTTTACAGTCTTCTGTTCTATTGGCCACTAAATAGTGGTATTCTAATTCCTCAAAATCGAATACTTGGTCTGTGGGATTCAAAGCAGCTAAATAAGTTGGAAATGCTGGCTTGCAAGCAATCACTGAGATATATACATAGATAAATAATTGAAAATTAATCATGAATATAATTAGATAAACAATACTTACGAGGAAACATATTGTCTTCTGTATCAAAGAGACTGTGCGTCTCCGAGGTTTTTGCCAAGAACTTTGTCAGTGCCTTTTCGATGTCTCTTTTCTGGGTAGCCGCCTTTTCTCTAATAGCTTCGTATTCGGTTACAGGTTGCTTATGTGTCTACAAAAACAAATATCGTTTTTCACGAAGAAAAACTAAAAAACAACATATTTAATCTTACCGGTGTTCTAACGTAGGCATGTGGATCGGGGAAAAGCGGCAAATATGGTAGGATATGTGGCGGATGCTGAGATTTTGTGCCAGCTTGTAATAGTGGCAATTGTTTGTTTGATTGTTGCTGTGGCGGCATTGATATGATTTGCCGCCCTTCCCGTTTGGCGAAAGCCTCAATCCCCTGTAAAGAAATTCCCATGTTCACCAGAGCCACAACAACATCGCCAACCACCGGTATTGTACGCCCCGAAAGTTCACAATAACTTCTTGCAGATTGTCCTACCTCTACGAGCACTGTAAACAAAAGTGTCTTATAATTATACTTGTTTTAAACTGAACGGGATTCCAACTTACAGCTTTGTAACATTTCCGTCAGTGTTTCCAAACATTCCTTGTCAACGCTGTCGAATCCCTTTTCCATAAGAATTTGAGAAACGGCAACGCTCAATATTTTACGTCTAGCATTGCCGGTAATCTGTGTATTTTCAGTTTTTTCCATTTTTCACACAAATTTTAAATACGAATAGAAAATAGGTAGACCAATCCACCAATCCGAGTGGTATGAAAAAAAGATAGATAAATAATGGGCTCAAAACAAAATGTCCGATTGGTATATGTGTTTACGAATGAGTGCGATGCATAGCAGCCGACTGTATAGAAAGAGACATGAACAAATATGAAAATCAGCTGATCATATTAGGGATGCCGTAATCATTTTACAGTAGGAATGTTCGTTTACTCAATAATTTGTACAAATTGTTACTGGATGTTGTTCGTTTACGCAAATGTCCAATAAAAACGAGCATTTTGAGATAGAAAATTTGACAATTGTGTTACTGAGTATTTGCAAATTCTTACTGGGAAAATTTAACTAGTAACAAGCTGTTTTGATATCATTTTAAACAATCAAAACTATATGTTTACAAACAACTTGAATGTTGGCAAAGTTTGTATATTTTGATTTTGTAACTTTAAACACTAAAATGGACAAATAAAACGCAAGGACAATAAAATAAATAATGCAAATAATAGTCTAAAGTCAAAAAATTTTAAATGGAACTCAAGTCAGTTGATATCAAGCTGTTTTTTTAATAAGATGATCTTATTAATAGACCTTGGAAAATAGATTACGAGATAGTAAAGTAGTTTGTCTGTTCCTAATTTTTACTATTTTTTCCATATCATAAAGGAAAAATAGTTATTTTAGAAAAAACTGGGAGAACAGACTAGTTGTGGCTTGTTATGCCAAAGTCGTTATAAAAGGTGCGACTGTGTGTGTAATGTTTTGATAAATATAAACAAATATTTTTATGTGTATAATATAAATAATATATTATATAATATAAAGAAATTTATGATTTGGGACGTCGCGTATTTTGGTAAAATATTAAAAAAAAATTTTCCTTTGGGAGTAATTAACATTTAATTTTGTTCCCTACTGGATACTCGGAAGAAATCATAACCTTTCATTAATATTCACTTTTGTAAAACCAATAGGGCAGCTGCAACAACAACAACTTGTTGGGTATGCACATAGTTCCTTTTTTGTTATCCATCTGAAGTTATCGTACCTTGTATTCTTTTACCATGCCACTATATACATAGAGGTTTACTTGTTGTTATATGATATTGTTATGATTTTATACAAAAAAAAAAATAATTGTATAATTTGAATATTAGTAAATTTTGTTTTTGTAGAATTTATCATTAAAGTGGATAACGAAAGCGCAAGTACAAATAAAAAGAATAATATAAACTATAAATTTGCTTTGCTATTAATTTTTTATTTTAGCTGGCAGCTGTAATCAGCTGTATCGATAAAAACTTTTTACTGGACGGGAGTACTGAGTAAATGTTACTGGAAAAGTAAACGAACACACTTTAAACCATGTTATATGTCAAGGTATATTTAATAAGGTAGCCGCATCGGGCCAGCTGTTGGACAAATAAATGTCAAAAATGTTGTTGTAATGTTGAATCAAAAAATTAAAAAACAAAATTATAAATGAAAATCTCCGAATTTCGAAGAGCTTTTTTGGCACCACTTTTATTAACATTTTCTACAAGAATTTGTGTAAAAAAATCTTGTCAATCTGTTTGTTTTTGCAAAATATTTTTGACATATCAAAATACAACAACCGAAGAAACATGCGGCTACCTTGTATATCTACCTTGTTATATGTAAATGTAGCAAAAACATTGCTGCGAAACCATTTATTGCCGCCGTCACAATTCAATTGGCTTTGGTACATCTATTGTGATTGATGTGAAAACAGTGCAGGTAACATTACACCACACAAAATGTAAACAATATTCAAAATCAAGTTTGACACTTATTTTAACGAATGATTTGTGAAAGCGGGCAAAGGATCAAACGCTTTAATAATGAATTAAAAAGTAATTAACCCATTACATTATATAGCAGTGAGTGAAAGAAAGCAACTAGTGGCAATAACATTTCGAAACTAAAGTCTTCCTTGGCAAAATATTAATATCAAATATGGATATGGAGGAATCAGGTAGTGTGTGGAACAGTCAATTGTTTTTTTTTCCCATAATTCATCACTTGTTTTACCTTCTCTTATGTTAACAGGTGGCATGCATTTTCCAACGTTAACCAATATCATGAATGAACTTCAGGCTGAATTTGAAGGATACAAGTTTACCGTGTATCGATGTGCGGCGAAATTCGTTAAATTGCAGAAGATTGTTTTTAGTAAGTTGTAGAAATATAAATAAAATAAACTGTCTCTAAAGTTGATTTATTTTCTTTAGCCAATAATATACCATATAAATTGGTGCTGGCGGTTATGGATCGACATGGAATGCATGATGATGTGAACTTAATGGTGCCGCCGTTTCAGTTGACATCCCTAATACATGACATATTCTTTGCTTGTGAAAAATTAGGACATTTTACAAAAGTGTCCGCATATTCCTTAGAGTCCGCCACAGCAGTTCTTTCAAATTTCTTTTGGAATATATTTGATCCGTAAGTACAAAATAATTATGGTGAGGTTTTCAGATATGTAATATATGCACTGTACTTGGTTATAGACACCGGCGACATTCCATTTCTTTACTTGAAATAAAAATCACATTCTTACTACTATGTAAACTTTACGCATCCGATCAAATGGTCATGGAGTTTTATAGCCTAATAAAACATCGCAAAACAAAATGTGTGGCCAAGCTTAATTTTGAGTATATGTTAAATATTTTGGCTAAGATATTTTCATATCTTGGAGAAGGAGCAGCATATGGTTCACAAAATATATCTATGGTTTTGGAACAGTGTTATTCTAGGGTGAGTTGTTAAAAGAAAATAATTTCACAAAATATTACAATATGGTTCTTACATTATAACAAGTGTTTTCTAATATGGTTGGAATTTCCTCCTAGTTTACGTTAAACTTAAAAGATCCCTCTTTTTCAATAACAGTGTCACAACCTGTCGGGACTCACCGATTATCAATTCCTTTGTCTATGGACCACGACTCAAACACGATTTCTAATCTATGCAAATTTGATTGCCCTCATAAAGCGAATCGAAGATACGGAAAGACTTATTCATTTGAACACCTGTGCATCGTGTGGTTTAGAAAAAATAACAGGGATTCGTTTCAAATGTCAAACGTGTAAGGACTTATCGCTGTGTTTAAAATGCTTTGCAACTGGCTATACAAATCATAAACATGGCATTGGCCATCGCATGTATGAAGTTTTTACAGAAGTAAGTTTGGTATACGATTATCGTGGCAAGTAATTTTGTAGCGTAAAATATATGTTTGAATTTTCTTTACAGGATATACCACCGAAAAAGTTTTCATACTACTTATCAAAATTGTGTACTGGCGTTTTTTGTACGACCAAAAAGGCTAGTGAGGAAAGCAAAGGTTTTGCCAATGAAACAATAACACAAAACGATACTGAACTTGTAACAATAGCGACAAACAGATCGTCAAACGCATCAACAATAAGTCTTAAGGCACCAAATGCTAAGCCGACTTCTATTGAGAAATCTGCTATAGCGACATCGGAGGAGAAGTCAAAAGTACAACAGATTGATCAGAGTCAAAAATCTGATGTTGATGGTATGACATACATACTTGATTTTTAAAAAAATTTTATGTATACAATTTTGATTATTTTTCCTAGCATCCATAGCCTGTCTTACGACAACAGCATCGACTGCTATAAATGTTTCCGAAAAATTGCAAATTATAATTGACAAACTTATGAATCAAAATGAGTAAGTAACAAGTCAAAAAAAGCAACAAACTTAATGGATAATATGAATTTTTATTTTAATGAAAATAAAAGTATTGATATAATGACCATGTTAATAACTGTTAGAATTCAAATTTCAATTTAGATAAATTTAATTACATATCTATAACTATATACGTTTTATATATAATTATTACAGAAAAGTAGAAGATCAACTTAAATGTATAGATACAACAACACCAGATGAAATGTCTGTTTTCCTAAGAAAACATCAACAATTTCTAAATGATATAATATCTGAAATGAGGAACTTTTCTGTAAGTTTATGAAAATAAGATATCAAGTCTATAAGAACATAGTATTCAATCATTATTTTCATTCACAGCAAACTTCTTCGGATAGTGTGAAAACCTTTCCCACCTCTAGTACACCAAATCGTTGGGGTTATGCTGCCGCCAAATCTCCCAATATGGATAATGTAAGCGCTGTTATCAATGTGCAATCAATATGCGGCGTAAATAATCCTCCAATTAGCTATGTATCTAAAGATAACTTAACACATTCCAGTAAGTTAATTATCCATCTTATATTTCCTATCCAATTCACTTATTTGATTCGATTTATTTCAGTTAATGGAGCAGACATTAATCGCACATACCTAGATGCAAACAAATCCGATTACTCAATCAATGATTTAAGTTCATGGTTTAACCAAAGGCGTTTTTCATCACTTCCACCCATTTCATTGAATTCGAATCAACAACCTCTTTCTGTTCTGGCCGAAGTACCTTCACAAGACGAACTGAATTATTATGGTGTCAATGCACGTGAAACGGAAATGGCTAACTTTAAACTTTTATTAAACAAAGTCAAGGAAATTGTTGATGATTCACACAGTGACAATACGGATTTATCCGAAGCAACCCAGAACTTAGAGAATGTATTGGAATCAATAATAAACACTGCGGAATGTCGGCGAATTAGTTTGAATTAAATTGTAACATGAATAAAGTGTGTAGTTGTTAGTCTAAGAAAATGTAAGAAATACTCCAAGTATTATATTATATAAACAAAAAACGTGCTTTTTGAACCATAAATAGATGGGTGTAAGTATGGTGAAATTGATTTCCACAATATATGCTTAAATCAAACTAATTTTCTTCCTTCAATGTTTTACCTTAAACTCATAGATTTTTAAATAAATTGTGATTAAAATAATTCTCCAATAAATGTTTTGTTAATGCTTTAGACCTTTTTCGAAAATAACCCTTTGCAGTAAAAAGTCATGATTTTTAAATAAAATGTGTTTAAAATAATTCTCCAATATAAGTCTTGTTTATGTTTTGGTACGTTTTTCCAAAAAAAAAAAACTTTTTTTGTTTACCTAATAAAACATTTATATTTGGTCAAATTAATGAAATGTTCCAAAAAATGGATCTTCTTTATTTGTTTTCTCTGTTTGCAATTCAAATAGCTTTAAAATCGTTACGATTCTTCTTCTGCTTCTTATATTACTAGAACTTAGACCAATATAGAATAGAACAATTATAAAATGATCAAATATTTTTAACTAGGTTTACCTCGTGACCACCAACCATAATGGCGAACATTATTGAACCCTTGCAAGTCTTGTTCATTTATAGAACTTTGTATCGGCCCTTATTGAAAACATGATGTGCTGAGCTGAGTTTCAACAACTCCTCTTTGATAAGGCGGGTTATTTCTCGTTTAGCCTTTTGAACAGCTAATTCGCTACAGCTTTCTATTGCCAAATACAATTTACGTTCGCCTTCGGGGGGATTCTTTCCTGGCGGAACATACGTTCCACGCACTGTTAAACCGGCTTCAGAATATTCAGATATTTGAGCCAGTGCTTCTTTGGACGTTACCTTCCAACGTGCCTGTTGTGGGAAGTCATTGATTTCCAGTTCCTCTTCATATTTCGTAAATGAATTAGCTTGATTGGGCAACAGACCCGATCCAGCAGCGTCTTCGTCATCTTTGGGCTGATAGTTAAGTTTATTATTGAGCTTGGCAGCCAACTGTTCTACTACGGAACGGGCAGTAATCATTGGCTGTGTAGCGCTGGAACCCTTTAATATGGCTTCGGCTGCAACTTGTGTACAGGCCTTGCCGTCAGTGCCCAAATTCTTGTTGGTACTAATTTTCGATGCCAACCGCTTGGCTAACTCAAGTTTATCAGAACCAACAGGATTGGAGGCTGACGTAGGATTTGCACTAGCAATGACTGTACTGCCAGCCGTAGGTGTAGCGGCTACCACAGTAACGGCTGGAGTGGGCACAGATGTATCCTTCACAGTGCGTTTAGCTGCAAATAGTTGCTCAATTTGTTGATCAATGTCATTCTCTATGTCTTCTTCGTCGTCAGAATCGGCTAGACCAAGTGCTGCCTTTTGTAGTTTTTTGCTTTCCTTGGCCGCATTTGCCTCTTGTTCGTCAAATTTGAAACCCTTGCCACTGAAACCACCGCCGGTGTGTACTTTCTTTCCTTCCGCTTCCTGGCCAGCCTTGTATTCATTCCACAGTTTCTGCAACTCTTCGGGAACTGGGGTCTCCGAAAGTTCTAATGCCCGTATGATTTCGCCCGCATACCGTCCTTGATCATATGTTAGGAAAGTCCAGGCGCTACCTTTTTTACCCGCTCTACCCGTTCGACCACATCTAAATAAAAATAGACATCAATATGTTTGGTTCAGGATCAAAAAAGAATATCCAATGGAGTCAATTAGAAATCGCAACATACCTGTGAACATAGTCCTCATAATGATTGGGAACATCGTAATTTACAACTAAAATCAAATCCTTGACATCTAAACCGCGTGCTGCTACAGAGGTAGCTATTAAAAGACGCACCTTACCAGATTTAAAATCTAATATCGTCGAGTCTCTGTCGAATTGATCGATTCCACCGTGCAAACTCATGCACGGGTACGAGGCCTTCATTAGGTCTCTCAGGAGGATGTCGGCGTTTTCTTGTTTATCGACAAACACAATAATGCTACCCTTTTCTTGGTAAATGCCCAATAATTCCAACAGTTTGAAGAACTTGGCATCGTCTTCCATAACGGCGACATGTTGTTCTACATCTTTGCAGACGACAGATCGGCCACCAACTATTACTTCGATTGGCTTCTTGAGAATGCGACGAGCTAAAGCCTCCATTTGTCTTGGAAAGGTTGCACTAAACATTACCGTTTGACGATCTGGCCTTACATTATCAATGATACGCATTACCTGAGGTTCGAAACCCATGTCGAACATACGATCGGCTTCGTCCAAGACAATGTATGTAACACGGCGCAAATTAGTCACCCGGCCCGAATTGGCTGCCAACATATCAATCATGCGTCCTGGAGTACAGACGATTATTTCGGCGCCACGTTTAAGCTCGGCGATTTGTTCAAACATGCCTGTACCGCCATAGACGCAAACAACGCGCAAATTCAAGCTCTTGGAGAACTTGCGGATATCCTTGCCGATTTGCATACACAATTCACGGGTTGGCGCCATTATAATTGATATCGGTCCATCACCATCTTCCAGTTCTGGCTGATCGAGGATGTGCCTAAACATGGGTAAAATGAATGCTAGCGTTTTGCCACTGCCAGTTTTTGCAATACCTATTAAATCTCGCCCAGACATAATAGCAGGAATCGCTTGGCACTGGATGGGTGTTGGCTTGTCAAAGCCCAATTTACGTAAAATATCCATTTCCTTTTTGCTAACGCCACACTGTGCCCAAGTCTGAAAGAAAGGAAGTGGTATTAGAATCAAGTGACCATCGATTATCGGAAAAGTTACATTAAAATGCAATTAGAAAAAATCCATACCTTGATGGGCTTAGGACAACCTTTGCCCTTAACCTGTACACCTTCCAATTCTGCTCGATACTTTTCAACTTCCTGCTGTGTCATTCGGGCCAATTCGGGAACCTCAACGTAAAAGTTTTTACGGAATGGGGCATATTCGACGCCAGAATGATCAATTTTGGGTAAATCTTTACGATGTTTATTAGCCAAGCTGGCTGCAGTGTCTTTGATATCTTCCAGTTCTTCCTCGCTGGAATATTCCAAACTGTCCATATTCTGTTCGATTAATTCTCCCTTATTTTTGTTCACCGTTGATTTCTTTTTGGCCATGCCGGTCAGAATTACAACGCCCTGTTGTTTTTTGGGTTGTGTAATGATATGATTCACCTGTCGCACTTCTTTGGCAACCTCTTGCATATAGGCATCCAATGGATCAATTTCGTCGTTATCTTCGGCCGCAGCAGATTCTTTTGCAGCAGCAGCAGCCTCCTTTTTAGAGTATTCCTCTTCCTCTTTGACCTTTTTCATCTGTTCAACTTTGAGTTCCTCTTCTTCCCTCAGAGCTTCAATTTTTGCTTTGGCTGCAATAACGATACTCTTCGATGACTTTAATCGATCAACTTTCTCATCCTCATCGTCGTCCTTGGGCTTCTTGATGCGATGGAATTTCGAAGGCGGTGAATCGGGTTCTTTGCTGAGATCGACAGTAGTAATAGAGTTGTCCTCTTCTTCGGATTCATCTTCAAGACTCCACTTTTTGGAAACAATATTTGTAGTGGGCGGGGGCAATAGCGATTTTAGATCTTTCTTGTTAGCTTCTAATTCTTTAAGTTTTCTTTCAGCACGCCAACGTTCAATGCGCTCTCTACGTTTTATCATTTCCAGTTCCAGCCGGCGTTGCTCTTCCTCTTTGTCGATTTCTTCCTCTTCGGGCGAAGAACTGCTCGAATCCTCATTTATGACAATTGTTGTGGGAGGAGCAGATTTTGTCGTTTGGGTTTCTTCTATGTTCTTTTCACGAACAATTTCCCGTTGTCGTTCTCGTTCTCTGTCCCTTTCTCGTTCACGATCCCTTTCACGTTCTTTTTCCCGTTCCCGCTCTCGTTCTCTTTCCATTTGACGTCTGTTAATAGAAGAAAGATGAAAATCGATAGCAAATTGTCAAATATGTTACTCACTGTTTTTCCCGTTCATATTCCTTCAGCTTTGATTGCGAAGGAGACTCCCTTCGGCGTTTTTCATCTCTTCTTCTATCAAAATCTCGATGGTCACGTTCATTCCGATCTCGTTTTCTTTCGTCTCGGTTCCGATTACTGCTGCTACTTCCGCCATTTCCATTACGTGATGATCTGTCCTTTGGTGACCTACTCCTACTCCTTGAATATCGACGTTTTCTTTCACGATCTCGTTCACGTTCCCTTTCGTAGTCTCGGTCTCGATCACGTTCCCTATCCCGGTCACGATCCCTTCTAAAATATAAACAGATATTATATATGGGATGAAAAAAACTTGACTTCCAATATAACATTGAATAAACTGGGCACCGGAATACACAACACATTTGCCCTGAGCTCAAAAGAACCGATGACCACAGATTATTCCAGCAATTGTAGGCAAGCATTCGACATATAGTGTTTTATGCAATAATTCACAGATTGATTGAAATTTACAAAATGCAATTCTTAAACGTTTAAACGATACACATTTCAATCCATCGACTACTACCAAACCAAATCAGTGGCTGTACTCACCCAGAGCTTTTTGACATTTTGTTCTTAAACACCGATTTCTTGGATTACGTGTGGACAATAACAACTGCAATATAATTGTAAAATAAATTATTTCTGATAATCGTTTGACAATTTGCAAATCAAGAAAATGCCGGAATAATGATTGAAGCCTTCAATCACCGACTGAAGTGAAATTGAAAAACGTTCCACGTGCTAACGAATGGGAGGAGAAGACAAATGGCCGATAAAGATGAACTCAAAATGGTTAACCGAAAGTTTACGAATGAGGTGGGATGGAGACTAAATAAAAACCCGGTGTTGTTTACAACACATACACTCACAACAGCTGCAGTCAGAGAACCGAGTCATACTGTTAATGAATGACGGCGTTGTAAGCATGTTGACAACGCGTGCGGTTAAAGTCGAAAATCAATTTCGATCGAAAAATCGAAAAGTCAACTTTTTAGTCAGAGGCAAAAATCGAAAGTCAACTTTTACTCTCGACTATGGATCCCTATAATGAAACCTTCAATCAATCTATTTTAACATATTAGCGTTACGAATCCAGTGCCATGTATGTGCTAGTAATTTATTCCAGCTGCATATCAGCTGCTTATTAAGTTTACTGTCAGAATTCAATATTGTGAATTGACTTCCATTATAAAAACGTAAACAAAGTCCGGATTTTTTGACAATATACTGAAGAATTTACAGCTGACTTTCGGTAGCGTGGTGACCCTTTTAATAAATCTTGACAGGGGGTTTACACAATAAACTTTTGTTAACAACTCTGCTGAGTTCTTAGGAAAGAGAGGTAGTAAAGTGACAAGATATTTAAAAGAGAATCGTAAAAAGTAGAAGTAGAGTTACGAAAGGTGTAAAAATTAAATTCATTTCATTTAGTCCTGATTTAGATTAGTCGAGTTTACTTGCGGCAATTTTTATCGTTCTCTTTTGAACTTGCTTCATGCGTCTATACAAGGCAATTCGGTTTCAAAAATATTTTTTTATTTTGACATTTTGTGACAATGTTCTGGATTGGTATTTCAAATTACTGACACTACAAACAAAATTATACGGCGTTTACATTTTACCGGATTTCGTTAACCCAGTGGGTTTAACTTATCAATTTCATTGTATATATGTCTGCTTTTCCACAGGCAAATTTTTATTTGGCAAATACTGAGTTTGTAGGCGAGAGGGGTGCGAGGAAGAAAAACAAAAATTTGCCTGTTCAGAATTTGCCGTACACGCAAATTCTGCTTTGCTCTGTTCGCTGAAAACAGTTTTGTTGACATTTCCTTTTGAACCTATTCGTTTTACTGACACACAGGCTTTTGTTTACAAACCTGTTGCTTTAATTTGTGCAAGTGAAATTTAATTTTTAATTTTTGCAATTTATATAATAAAATTATATAAAAAATAAATAAAATATTAAAAAACCTTTTTTTTGACGTTTTTTTCTTTCTTTTGCATTTTGATTCGCAAATTTGGCAAAGAAAAATTTGCTAATGGAAAAGCAAGCGAAAATTGCAAAGGAGAAAAAAAAATTTTCCAAATAAAAATCTGCCTGTGGAAAAGCGGACTATGTCAAATAAATCTTCATAGAGTAGGTTAACCCGGTAAAAAGTTCTAATGTAAACGCCGTATTACAAAACGAATTGGCAAAAAATTGCCGGTACGAACATTTTTTTTTTCAATTTCTATTCCCCTTGGCCCTCTCTCCTACAAACAACGACTTGCCTCAAGTAAACTCGCCTAATCTAAATTGGGACTTAAATTTCAATATATTTCAATACATACATAGAAAAAGCCACCTTGAGAAAAATTGTAAACAGCAATGACCTACCTTGTAAGAGCACGTTTAGACTACTAAATCCACTCGATTTCAAACGTCAATTCCATAACGCATAATTCACGTTAATCCTGTTCATAAAAATCTAGTGGATTATAGTTTACGTATACGCTATGGAATTGACATTAGAGTCGAGTGGATTTCGCAAATCTAAATGCAGTTTAAATGTATTTTTATATTTTTATGTCAACACATTTGAAATAATGGCTCTCAGTGTAAAATGTTCGCACTTTGGGTCGCCCTGTATGAACTAGTTCCTTCAGTTCGTTGCGGGAAAATGCATCAGCTGATTGTCATTCTTCCATTCCCTCTTTCTACACAATACAGTGCTATCGGCGTTATGCATCACCCTCTCATCCGTAAGCAATACATTTAACGGCCATTTTGCTTTGAGTTTGTTTTTCACCCATTCTCTTCTTTCTCCTTCTATTCGTTGCATGTGGAACGCTTTTTATTTAGATCGGCGTGACAAAAGTGCTTTGTACTCATCAACTTCGTTTGCCTTCGTTAACAAAGGTGAACACAAAGAGGAACTGTATTTTGTGAATTTTTATTTTTTCCTGCTTGCAATCAACGTCATTTGGCTTAGATTAGAAATACGTGTTAACTGTTAAGGCTATTCGGTTGACACTCAGCATTTGTTTCTTTTCATTTGTTTAAAAACGGCTTCAAAATTGGCAAAATAAGGAAAAATAAGAAAATGAGCTACAACGACAAGAACGATGGGATTACCAAAGATGAGTGGATGATGCGTTTGGAACAATTTCCGTTTAAGCAGGCAGACATGAATCGGCTAATTATGAATTATTTGGTAACTGGTGAGTTTGTTGGCAATCAATGAATTTAAATGTTGTAAATATATCAAATTTGTGATTTTCTAGAGGGTTTCAAAGAAGCGGCAGAAAAATTCCAGGTTGAAGCTGGTTTAATGGAACCCTCCGTGGAGTTGAATTCTTTGGATGATCGTATACTGATACGTGAAGCTATACAAAATGGACGGATCCAAGAGGCAACACAGTTGGTAAACCAACTACATCCCGAATTGCTAGACAGTGACAGATATCTATATTTCCACCTGCAACAATTGCAATTAATTGAACTAATAAGGTATTTTGTGTGAATTAGATGCATTGTAGTGGTATTAAATGGAATATTTGTTACATTTTTTCAGAGCTGGAAAAATTGAGGAAGCCTTATCATTTGCCCAGAGTCGCCTGTCGGAAGCCGGAGAAGATATACCAGAAGTTTTGTGCGAACTTGAACGTACCTTGGCATTATTGGCATTCGAAAAACCTCAAGAAAGTCCATTTTCGTATCTTCTGGAACAGTCGCATAGACAGAAGGTAGTATGACATATGCAATTATCTTAAAAATTTTATATGTAGTAACAAACTTTTTGTTGTTTTAGATCGCCAGTGAACTTAATGCGGCTATATTGAAAAGTGAGCACAGTGCTGATTCTACGCCAAAAATAATGTTCTTGTTGAAGTTAATAATGTGGGCACAGTCAAAGTTGGATGCCCGCGAGGTCAATTATCCAAAAATGAAAGATCTTGAAAATGCTATCATTGAGCCTAAATAAATTCTTAGTTTATCACGAATGAACAAATATTATTTGCAATATAAATGCGAGATATTGAGAAGAAAGTAAATCATTAGGAAATCACATATAATTTTAATGTACCTATTATTACCATTATTTAAAACATTTGTTTACATAACATATTTCAACCCGTAGTTTTTAAATAAATACAAAACATAACATACGAAGCTAGTTTTATTTATGTTTGGGATAGAAATTACGACTTATATGAAGTAATGTTGCCGTGAATATTCAGATAAACACGCAATAGGCATTAGCAATGAACAGGAATAAACCTGCAAGAATCCACTATATATCAATGCTTCTTTTATAAGTTTCAAAAATACCCCCAATGTTAATAAACTACAACTTATTCGTGACATAATAAAAACGTGTATTTTCTCAAAACAAATTATAAAAGATGCATAATTTTTTTTAATAAACAATTTAAGATATTTATAGACAAAATGCGATTTACACTACCAGCCAAAGAATAGATCCATAGCTTTGTTCATTATTCCCGAACTTTTTTGTGGTGCATTAGAATTTGCCACAACCGATGTATCCGTTTGGGCACTCTTATATGCCGTTTGCGCCAAGGGACGAACTTTTTGCACGGTAGGTCTGTGGAAAAAATAAAGAAAATTAGCTTTGTCAATCAAACATCTTGCAAAAAAAACTTACTGTGTATTCGCTTCACAAAGATTCTCTTTATCGATTATTGCTTTATCTTTGCACTGGGTCACACCTATCATTATATTATTGGCTAAAATCTTTTCATTATAGTTAAGGGCTTTATCACACTCAAGCCTAGACGAATATTTCAAATGTACCCAATTTCCATTCTGAGAGGGAAACACTTTATCCACAATGGTACCACATTGAGCGAAATGCTGCAAAATAACGGGAGTGGCGCTAGATGGAAATCCAAACACAGTTATCCAGAATTCTGTATAACGTGGTGGCTGTGGACACTGCATTTGTGATGAATTTATACCAGTTGTTATATTGCCTGGTGTTCCCGGCAACATAGGTGACATTACACCTGGACGTGACATATTGAATGAGTTGTTGTTATAGGATTCATTGTATTGGGACTGTATGCTCTGATTTAAGCCGTATGCTGCTATACTTGTATTTGGATGACCCATGACTGGAGTCCCAAGTTGTGATTGGGTTGGTAAATTTCTCGTTGGTGTTTGTATCTGATTGCGTTCACTTCGCAAGGAATCGAAAAGACCCTGTGTTGGCGGTCCAGATATGCTCGAATTGTGATTTTGTATTGGGGTACCGGGGAAATTTGCATTTTGACCAACCGATGGTGTTTGATAGCCACCAAATAGTGTTTTTTGACCCAGAGTGGATCTGTTATAATCTTGCTGTGGCGAATTGGCGCCGGGAGAAGTAGCAAATCCAAATGAAAGATTCCTCGCACCGGCTTTGTTGGGAGAAAGCGTGTTGTTTCTGGGTGTTGTTGGTGTCTGTTGTTCCCCTAATAGAAATGATGGCAGATATGGATTAGTTGCAGGGCTGCCGCTTGGACTCCCGAGTGCCATGGGTTCCATTTTATACAATAATTTAATTTAACGCGTTATGGAGGGAATTAACTAAAAATTCGATGAGCATCTGCAGATGTCAACAGTCAACGCTTTGAATGTTTGATCGCAGCTTGCAAAAATATTTTGTCGGCGATAAGTTCAATATTGGCGGCGTCAGACACATGTATGGCCTGTTCCCGTACTGCACGAATCATGGCACAATGAATAGGTAGTCCAGTTAGAGCAGCTGATGTCTTGATTAACTGTCAAAGAGCGTAATTTCCACTTGAATTCGATGTGCATTGTTGACAACCATATGAAATATTATAAGGAAACATTTGACAGAAGGTCGAGACAAAAACAAAGACTTTTGTTTTGATACATCACCTTATTATTGCATCATGGCAGGAATCTACTAGATTTTACAATATTTGTCGATACCATAAAGGAAAATTCGTTATCGTAGTAAAAAGTAGTAGATTCTTGCAGAACGGGAACTGACCAGTTGTTGATGCTCGAATGCAAGGCATTCGATTACCTTACTAAATGGTAATCGAATCAGACATACGACAAATATATTTTGCAATAACCGATTCAAAAATGTTTTTACACAAATTTATTCAGAAAATGGTAATAAATGTGTTGCACTAAGAAAATCTTTAAAAACAAGGGATTTTTCATTACAATTATTTGGTTTTAAATTAGAACAACATTTCTGACATATACTTGTGCCAACTGCTAAGCTGATGCAGTTACCACACTAAAAGGGGAAACACATAAAATAACGTCAGGATTCGCATGTCCTGAATTCTCGTTTGTGTTTCCTTGCTCAAATTCGATACTTTAAACTATGGTGTTACCAAAATTGCATTAAGCAATTTTACTTACGACATTTGTCAGTTTGGGAGCGAGAGAAGTGAAGGGTTGCCATTTCCAAATCTCACCTGCAAACTATAAAATTGGAGTAATTAAAATTTCTTAATTTAAATCCGGAATGTGTTCCCGTACTCAAAAACTGGTAATAAACGTTTACATTGAACCGGATTTATATATATATATATATATATATAACGGAATTGACAATTTAAACCCACTGGGTTAACGAAATTCGCTACAACGTAAACGTACATTTAGAAGATGTCTTGCCAATCGATTCGATTTATAAATTTTGGTACTAAATTGTAGATGCTAGAGAGCTTTTGGACTACTCACTCGATTTCAAAAGTCAATATCATAGCGTATACGTTAAACCTGTTCTCAAATCCAGTGGATCATATTTGACGTATACATTTGAGATCGAGTAGATTTCGTAAATCTAAACGCAAATTTACTACAAAATCATTTTTTTGCGTTATGGGCGTTATGAGCTGTTACTTTTTCTGTAAAAAATGACAGCATTTCTTGTATTGTTCTGCCTTGGTTACAAAATTTAGTAAAATGTACCTGGTACAATTATACAATTGGTCTGTTCCCGTACTGCAAGATTCTACTCGATTTTGCCATTTTTTTCGATATTATAAAGGAAAAAAGTGTTATCGGAGTAAAAAATAGTAGATTCTTGCAGTAAGGGAACAGACCAAATGTAACTGCAATACTGATTTGTACACATATTTCAAATAAAAAAATACGATAATGCAATATGAGCTTAACAATCGGGCATGTTCTTGCCAAGGTAGATATACAAGGTAGCCGCATCGACGAATTTCTACAACAAACATCGGTTGTTGTATTTTGATATGTCAAAAATATTCTGCAAAAACAAACAGATTGACAAGATTTTTTTACACAAATTCTTGTAGAAAATGTTAATAAAAGTATTGCCAAACAAGCTCTTCGAAATTCGGAGATTTTCATTTATAATTTTGTTTTTTAATTTTTTCGTTCAACATTACAACAACATTTTTGACATTTATTTGCACCAACAGCTGGGCCGATGCGGCTACCTTATTAAATATACCTTGGTTCTTGCATTCACATCAACGACAGAAGTGCACGCCGAGGTGTTCTGTAACACACTTTACACCCATTTGAGGTGTACTCTTTACATTTACATTTTCATAGTGAGAGTCGGGTGTATTCATGTTTTTTTTATATAAAAGAATATTATTTTTGAAATAAAAAATGCATATGATGATAAATTAACATATTATTATTGTTTATAATTTGTTTAAAATCACAAAATTAAGATGAAACGTCATAAAAAAACAATTTTAAAAAGATACATAGGTTTGTGTTGCATTTATTCCGAATGAATCTCTCGCTTGACACAAACAGCTGATTTGCAATAAGATCGTACAAGATCGATAAGATCGTACTAGATACGGTTACCAAATGTTCCCCTTAAATCAATCAACAAATTAATGACAATTAAGAGTCTTTCATACATATATTAAAAAATAATAATAACATTATCGTTAGAATTTACGAAATTATTAAAAAATTACAGAAACAATGTTAAAAACGAATACAGTTTATATTGTGTGGCAACACTATTTCTGCAAAGTGCCATGTCGGCGTATATTTTTGTCGCAGTTCGAAAATTTAAATTCACGAATATATAGGGAACCTGATATTTATTTTTGCTATATTCCCAAATCTGCAGACGATGGAAAAATATACTATCACATTTAATTTTTTTCTGTACCGGTTTTACCACCATGAATTGACATGAGAATTTAACATTTATACATTATCAAATCAAAGAAATCGCAGCAGAATATCATTGTTTTTGGTTTACAATTTAATTCAATTTCCTAATGGGAAAATGTGAAGCCAATCCCTTTGCGATGCAAAATTCCTATTTTGTTTTTGTATGAGTTACCTCTACATATAGCAATATCTAAGTATGAGGAAAGATCTGGAAACTATACAATAATAAATTTGCAAGATTTTCATTCATGTTTTTCAATTTTATTCAGAAAATTCAAAAATATTACATTTTGAAAATAAATAAAATTAATTGATACTTTGTTTTATTGTTTACATTTTTCGACATATCTGAATGACACTTGTGTTACATACAATAACAATTTTCTATGTGGTTTGAAATATGTCAAATATAACAACTTTTTCCATTTTAATGGATTTAGTTTAAAGGGCCCCATACACTATACATCATGCCGTACAGCATTTATCATAGTATGTTTATTTTTTGAAAGTTTATTTATGTATGTGTGACACACACAATGCATGAAGAAAATCAAAATAGTTTTGATTTTGAAAATGAAACCCTATCAATCTGGTGAATAATGTTCATTTTGAAAGTTGTCAGTAAATAATTTTGTGTACAAAAATAATAGAATTGTGTCGGAATAAAAAAAATAACTCACTTTACGACTCAAAATGCAATTTTTGGCACAAAAATCAATTTTGTCTCACATATACAAAAAGGGGTTCATCGGCATGACGGGGGTCCTTAATAATATACCAGAAAATCTCTATCTTTTGGCATTTTCTTTTCAGATTTATGGATTTACATTGATTAACATGCATTATTTTGCATGACAGATTAGTGTAAATCCACTATAAGAATATTAATAACAATTAAACCTTGCCATATTCATTGTATAAATCCATTGTTTGTATGGCAACCTCTCGCAATTGTCACGTCAACAAAACGTCAACAACTGCTTGTGGAAGGTTGGACCAACTAAATCCATTGAATAAATATTTACATTTAGTTTTTACTTCCAAAAATAGTTAGGAATTTGGCTCAAACACCCAACAACAATGCTGTGTCAATATTAGAATAAGTCTAGTTTAGTTAGTGCACATAAATTATCCAAGTGACAAGTTGATGTTTCAACGTTAAACAATATTTAATTACGACGTCCTCTGGAATTATACAAGAAGAAACGAATTATGAGTGGAGTTGCGAAACGTACGGGCTCCAGGCATGTCTTGGTTGTGTTGACGCTATGCATTGTGTGGTACATAATTTCGTCCAGCAACAATGTAATTGGGAAAATGGTGCTAAACGAATTTCCGTTTCCAATGACGGTGACAATGGTCCAACTCTGCAGCATCACATTGTATAGTGGTCCATTCTTCAATTTGTGGAAAATAAGAAAATACCAAGAACTACCCAGAGGATACTACCTAAAGTTGATTATTCCCCTGGCATTTGGTAAATTTCTGGCCTCGGTGACGTCTCACATTTCTTTGTGGAAAGTTCCTGTTTCTTATGCTCATACAGGTACATAATAAGCAGCGGATGGAATCGTCTTAATGACGTGTTCAATTCCGTTAAACACATGCTATTTAAATGATAATCTCTATGTTCATATTTTTGCAGTTAAAGCCACAATGCCACTGTTCACGGTAATACTTTCGCGCTTGCTATTCAAAGAAAGGCAATCAACAATGATATATCTGAGTTTAATACCAATTATAACGGGAGTCGGAATTGCTACTTTGACGGAAATCTCATTTGATATGTTGGGTTTAATATCGGCATTAGTATCGACTATGGGTTTCTCACTGCAAAATATATTTTCGAAAAAGGTAAGTTTGTAATTGAAAAATACATTAACTAATTGAGGAAAAAGTCAAGTTGTTTTTTTAAAAACACATAATTATTAATTTTATTTTTCTCTACTTTACGATAAAATGTAAATATTTGTATAGGTTCTCAAGGACACAGGAATACATCATTTGCGTTTGTTACATTTGCTTGGCAAATTGGCATTAGTTATGTTCCTACCCATTTGGCTCTATATGGACAGTTTCAAAGTCATTCAACATCCTGCTATTGTAAGTCAACAAATTACTGTGCTGTTAAGATTATTAATTTTCTTTTTATTATGCCTTTCCAGACTAATTTGGATTATCGAGTGATCGCATTACTTTTTGCTGATGGTGTTTTGAATTGGCTTCAGAATATAATTGCATTTTCAGTTTTGTCATTGGTGACACCTCTAACGTATGCAGTTGCAAGTGCATCAAAACGGATATTTGTGATAGCTGTGTCACTGATTATTTTGGGAAATCCAGTAACGTGGGTGAATTGCTTTGGCATGGGCCTGGCCATTGTAGGCGTATTATGTTATAACAGGGTAAGGATATTACATCTAATTTTCACTTTTTTAACGAGATAACTGATTTGTTTGTATTTGTAATTTCAGGCAAAGCAGGTAACAAAAGAGAAACCTATAATACCAACTACAACGAAGAGTAGTATCAATTATACCCCCTTACAAAACACAGTGGATCCTTATTATCGAGGTTCTGCTTTAACAAATTACAAGACAACGAATGGTTACAATTCAAGCACCACAAATAGTCTCTTAGCCAACGGAAGCGGGATACCCAATGGAAGTACAACTCGACTTTTATTTGTTTAGTTTAATAAAATTTTAATGATGATTTTCAGTAATAAGATTATAAAATGATTTTAGGCAATTTTGTAAATATGATTATACAATTATGTTAGCGACAAAAATTACGAGCCATTTTCTAAAGCTACTGTTGAAGATATGTTTCTAGTAATTCATCACAAATTCAGTTAGTGTTTGTTTTAAGTCAGTATTTATGAGTGTATATGTTTTTTTTTTTGGTTGTTGTACGGCTGTTTGCAACTTGTTGATGTAGATGATCATTACATCAGTCTGTGAAGCTATAAAAAATAAACCCATCTTTATATCGTATTGTTTAAGAAACATGCTCCATTGTATATAGACGAAGAATATTGTAAACTATTTAATAAATGTTGTTTATTAAATACTACTTGAAACAAGTAAATATTCAAAATATTTTTTATTATTAATTCAATGAAATTAATGGATAATTTATAAATGGAATGATTTTAGAGTTGATCATGAATGCATGGAAATGTGTACTGTCTTTTGCCAGATATATAGGAAGTACGCGATTACATGCTTCTGATCCAGCTGGTTTGAATTGGTGACGAACCATGTCTTTGGAACAAACCTCGTATATTCTAGATCACATTGGAATTCTAAAGAAATGGATAGGATATTTTTTATATAGAAAATCGCATGGAAAGTCAAATTTAGTTCAATTCTGTTCAGATAGTGGAATATTTTATTTAATTTAATCTTTATGATACACCAAAGTTACATTCATTGTGTAGCACATTTTTTACAATAAGAAATGCCTTTGTTTTGTTTTTACCTTACCGCCGTTTGGGAATAATTACTTGCACATTTTACATTCATATATAACGGTCCTTTTATATCCAACTTTTTGCTGTAATGATTCTGATTTTACATTTCCAACTACAACCCATGCTGTGGCGGGTTATTGTAATTTATGGATAATTAATGGAATGATTTTGGAGTTGGGCTTGAATGCATGGAAAAGTGTATTTTCGTTTGACAGAGATATTAAACCCAGTCCGCGACTTGTTCAAATTGGTGATGAACTATGCCCTTTGAAAAAACCTCTATAAAAGTCGATACGATATTTCTAATATGGAAAATCTAATTTAGTTAACTATAATACATTTAATTTCAACATTTGGTTTACAATTTATAAATGTTTTTAGTTTTGTTTTTACCTCACTGCCGTTTGGTAATAATTAGTTGCACATTTCCAATTGTATCCATTCATATATAACGGCCCTTTTATATCCAACTTTTTGCAGTAACGATTCTGATTTTACATTTCCCACTACAACCCATGCCGTGGCGGGTATGCTTTCAGTTTCGGCAATAATATTTGTTAAGGCTTCAACTAAAATTCTTCCAAATCCTTTTCTTTGGTGGCTTGACATCACTTGGAGTACTCTAAAAGTGGTTTACCAAAATATCTCGATTGTTTACTTGTATTGTAATAATATAATAAAACTTACGCTATTCCACCGAATTCATTTTGAAGAATCCAACCGATTAATTCATTGTTAGACTTTTGATATAAGCCAATGGTTTTATTTATCTGTATGTGACCTTTAATATAATCCAATGAACCTTCTTTGTTGTTTGCCCACAGGGAGTGTATCAAATCAGCGTGTCTTTCTTGTAGTTCAGCTAAATCATAACCATCAGGAATGCTAAAATTAAAGTTGTTTATTAATAGGAATTTTCATAATGCTATTTATAATAATTTTTAGTTAATGAAATTGATCTTATGGTGGTTTTATTCCTTTTTGTTTGGAAATGTATTAAAAGTTGTAGTATACCTTGTTTTATTAGGATTCAAACCATATACTGGCTTAAAAATCAATCCTTGGCATGATCTGGCTCTCTTTATGACCCCACCTTTTCTAACTACAATATTTTTCACACTTTCCGAAAACTCTGGTGCTATATTGAAAAGTAATGCACCGTTTTTCCACTGAATTAAATTGGTATTTTCCAAACACTCTAATAACTCATTACAGTTTGCTTCCCAACTATGGAAGGTTACACTTTGTATCTGAAATGTGGGAATAAGTCAAGTTTGGTTTAAATTTTGTATATTAATGTAATACTCACTAAATCCTGATGCAGACACACATATGTGCCATTTTTACGTAAATCTCCCTTTCTATGTGTGTAAAAATTCTTTCTGAATGAAATCCACTTTTCATTTTGTGCATCGATTTCTTTTTCGTGTAGTTTCTTATTCCATTGAAGCTGTGTGTAAATGAGTAAATATTGAAAACTTTCTATGCCACATTTTTCAGTATATAATTGCAATAGTTCCTCTAGTTCCTGATCTGTCAATAATCTTAGAATATCGTCATTGGTTTCTTGGGGCATTATTTGATTTTTATAAAACTTTTAAAAGAATGATGATTACTTTATTATATCGCTTTTATTTGCTACTTAAAGTAGCATACCTTCTGCTTTGAAATATAAAATTAAACTATTGTTGTAAACTATTGATAACCAAACGAACACAAATATTAGACTTCTTTTCATTATCAATGTTTAACTATTTCAAGAGATGATAAAGGGCGAGAGAGAGAGAAATAATAAAAAAGAGACTTCATTTCCCAACAAACATCGATCGGCTCTCATTTTTAATTGATTTTAATCGAATGCTATTAAAGATCTGTTGAGATTGTTAACGTTAATAACATACAGTGGTGGTCACAGAATTAAAACATTTACTGTGGTAAAAATTGTTTGATCAGCCCTCGATTCGTTTGAAGTATTTTTGAACATTTTTTAATTCAGAACACTTCGATATACTGCACTCAAGAGATTTAATGTGAAAATGGAAAATTATTTCATGCAATTTTTCCATAAATAAAGGTTTTTATGAAAATACAACGACTTTGAATTGGCCATATAATTAAAACATTGTGTGATTTTTTACTTGACTGCATTTTTTGAAAATATTTTTTAAAAAAGCTCTTAAATTTAGTTAAATTATGTAAATTAAGCACCGATAAAATCATTTACTGATAACTATTTTTGAAAAAATCTGTAAAATCTATCAAAATTGCCAAAAAATTTGTACAGTACACCTTACATTCAGAAAATAACCCTTATTATAGAAAATAAAGGTCCGAATGCACCAGAACTTGCTAGAATTAGTAGAAAACAATAAATAATTCTCAAAATAAATAAGTATTGGAAATAAAAACTCAAAAAATTTGAATTAACCTAAAAGAACGATTCAATTTCGATAGCCTTTATTGAAGAAGGCCGGAATATTTTTGCAGTATGTGAGGAAATATCGATTGATATTGGCATTTATTATATCAAATCGATTGTTCGAGTAGTACAGAATATTTGTTATCAAAAAATATACCAGTCACAACAGAAAGAACAGAGATCAACGCCTATGTTGACGAGTAAAAGTTTCTGCTACACAGCAGCAATTTTGATGCTCAACTCAAGACTTTAAATATTTGTCAAATTGTAAAATTTTTCTTTCTTTTAGGCTAAAATAGATTAAATGGGCATTATTCTATTCAAAAAATATTATTTTGGACAAAATATTGTCATGTTCAATAGATTTTAAGGGTCAAGAGTTAACCATCAAACATGCTGCTGTGTACCAGAAACGTTTTCTCGTCAAAATGGGTGTTGATCTCTGTTCGTTCTGTTGTGACTGATAAATTTTTTGATGAAATATATTCTGTACTACTCGAACAATCGATTTGATATAATAAATGCCAATATCAATCGATATTTCCTCACATACTGCAAAAATATTCCGGCCTTCTTCAATAAAGGCTATCGAAGTTGAATCGTTCCTTTAAGTTAATTCCCATTTTTTTGAGTTATTATTTCAAATATTTATTTATTTTGAGAATTATTTATTGTTTTCTACTAATTCTAGCAATTTCTGGTGCATTCGGACCTTTATTTTCTATAATAAGGGATATTTTCTGAATGTAAGGTGTACTGTACAATTTTTTGGCAATTTGTTGTAGTATACCTTGTTTTATTAGGATTCAAACCATATACTGGCTTAAAAATCAATCCTTGGCATGATCTGGCTCTCTTTATGACCCCACCTTTTCTAACTACAATATTTTTCACACTTTCCGAAAACTCTGGTGCTATATTGAAAAGTAATGCACCGTTTTTCCACTGAATTAAATTGGTATTTTCCAAACACTCTAATAACTCATTACAGTTTGCTTCCCAACTATGGAAGGTTACACTTTGTATCTGAAATGTGGGAATAAGTCAAGTTTGGTTTAAATTTTGTATATTAATGTAATACTCACTAAATCCTGATGCAGACACACATATGTGCCATTTTTACGTAAATCTCCCTTTCTATGTGTGTAAAAATTCTTATAAAAATTCTTGACTGAATGAAATCCACTTTTCATTTTGTGCATCGATTTCTTTTTCGTGTAGTTTCTTATTCCATTGAAGCTGTGTGTAAATGAGTAAATATTGAAAACTTTCTATGCCACATTTTTCAGTATATAATTGCAATAGTTCCTCTAGTTCCTGATCTGTCAATAATCTTAGAATATCGTCATTGGTTTCTTGGGGCATTATTTGATTTTTATAAAACTTTTAAAAGAATGATGATTACTTTATTATATCGCTTTTATTTGCTACTTAAAGTAGCATACCTTCTGCTTTGAAATATAAAATTAAACTATTGTTGTAAACTATTGATAACCAAACGAACACAAATATTAGACTTCTTTTCATTATCAATGTTTAACTATTTCAAGAGATGATAAAGGGCGAGAGAGAGAGAAATAATAAAAAAGAGACTTCATTTCCCAACAAACATCGATCGGCTCTCATTTTTAATTGATTTTAATCGAATGCTATTAAAGATCTGTTGAGATTGTAACATACAGTGGTGGTCACAGAATTAAAACATTTACTGTGGTAAAAATTGTTTGATCAGCCCTCGATTCGTTTGAAGTATTTTTGAAAATTTTTTAATTCAGAACACTTCGATATACTGCACTCAAGAGATTTAATGTGAAAATGGAAAATTATTTCATGCAATTTTTCCATAAATAAAGGTTTTTATGAAAATACAACGACTTTGAATTGGCCATATAATTAAAACATTGTGTGATTTTTTACTTGACTGCATTTTTTGAAAATATTTTTTAAAAAAGCTCTTTAATTTAGTTAAATTATGTAAACTAAGCACCGATAAAATCATTTACTGATAAAATTTTTTGAAAAAATCTGTAAAATCTATCAAAATGGCCAAAAAATTTGTACAGTACACATTACATTCAGAAAATAACCCTTATTATAGAAAATAAAGGTCCGAATGCACCAGAAATTGCTAGAATCAGTAGAAAACAATAAATAATTCTCAAAATAAATAAATATTTGAAATAAAAACTCAAAAAAATGGGACTTAACATAAAAGAACGATTCAATTTCGATAGCCTTTATTGAAGAAGGCCGGAATATTTTTGCAGTATGTGAGGAAATATCGATTGATATTGGCATTTATTATATCAAATCGATTGTTCGAGTAGTACAGAATATTTGTTATCAAAAAATATACCAGTCACAACAGAAAGAACAGAGATCAACGCCTATGTTGACGAGTAAAAGTTTCTGCTACACAGCAGCAATTTTGATGCTCAACTCAAGACTTTAAATATTTGTCAAATTGTAAAATTTTTCTTTCTTTTAGGCTAAAATAGATTAAATGGGCATTATTCTATTCAAAAAATATTATTTTGGACAAAATATTGTCATGTTCAATAGATTTTAAGGGTCAAGAGTTAACCATCAAACATGCTGCTGTGTACCAGAAACGTTTTCTCGTCAAAATGGGTGTTGATCTCTGTTCGTTCTGTTGTGACTGATAAATTTTTTGATGAAATATATTCTGTACTACTCGAACAATCGATTTGATATAATAAATGCCAATATCAATCGATATTTCCTCACATACTGCAAAAATATTCCGGCCTTCTTCAATAAAGGCTATCGAAGTTGAATCGTTCCTTTAAGTTAATTCCCATTTTTTTGAGTTATTATTTCAAATATTTATTTATTTTGAGAATTATTTATTGTTTTCTACTAATTCTAGCAATTTCTGGTGCATTCGGACCTTTATTTTCTATAATAAGGGATATTTTCTGAATGTAAGGTGTACTGTACAATTTTTTGGCAATTTTGATAGATTTTACAGATTTTTTCAAAAATTTTTAGCAGTAAATGATTTTATCGGTGCTTAGTTTACATAATTTAATTAAATTAAACAGCTTTTTTAAAAAATATTTTCAAAAAATGCAGTCAAGTAAAAAATCACACAATGTTTCAATTATATGGCCAATTCAAAGTCGTTGTATTTTCATAAAAACCTTTATTTATGGAAAAATTGCATGAAATAATTTTCCATTTTCACATTAAATCTCTTGAGTGCAGTATATCGAAGTGTTCTGAATTAAAAAATGTTCAAAAATACTTCAAACGAATCGAGGGCTGATCAAACAATTTTTACCACAGTAAATGTTTTAATTCTGCGACCACCACTGTATAGGAGGTTAGCAGGTAGCAGGTAAGGGGTTGTAAATACATATTACAAATTGCATACAAATAAATTTCGATTTGAACGAGATTACCGATAATTTACATTTAGATAAAAAAATCAAAATTGTCGCATGGGATGGTATTCTAATGCATAAATTTTGACAACTTTTTGAGTATGAGAAAACACCAATTTTTGTTTTGATATGCCATCTTGATTGATAGACAATTGGTCTGTTCCAAAACCTGAAAAAATGTAAATTTTTTACAACGATAAAAATTGTTCCTTTATGATATCGAAGAATATAGTAAAATTAGTAGGTTATTGCAGTACGGGAACAGACCAAATATTACTTGCAGCAATTTTAAGATTGTTGTCTAATGTAAATCAGGACATACTGTCGATTTTAAGTATTTTGAAAACTTTTGGTAAAGACGGGGTCCTACTATATTCATATTAAACGTCATTGTTGCGTTTTGAGTGTATTACGAGGGTGGTAACCTTTGTCACTGGTTTGAAGACCAATAAAAGTAAAATAAACACTTACAATATATGGTTGTCATGGAAACACAAAAGATTTGTTATTTTTATTTTGATTTAAATAAAAAAACATTTGTTTTCAAGAAAAAAAGACGAAAGTAAAAATGGTTCGAAGTAAGTATTTGCGAGTTTGCAAGTAAAATTTAAATACTTTATTACAAATTTCAAAATTTCAGTTACCGAAGAATTGGTGAGAAAAAAATCAGAACACAATGAAATGCTTATTAGCACTTTGGAAGAACTATCACTGCATCAGGAGGATATCGAACGCATTGAGCATCTTCAAAATTGGTGCCGAGATTTAAAAATTCTCTTGTTGCAATCGAATTTAATTTCCAAAATAGAAAACCTTAACAAATTGAAACGTTTGGAATATCTAAATTTAGCTCTCAACAATATTGAACGCATCGAAAATTTACAACATTTGGAATCGCTTAATAAATTGGATTTGACATTGAATTTTATTGGTGAATTGACATCGATTGAGTGCCTAAAAGACAATTACAATTTGAAAACTCTCATCCTAACGGGTAATCCTTGTTGTGATTATCCCAATTATAGAGAATATGTTATTGCAACGCTGCCACAATTAGAAAGTCTAGATTGCCAAGAAGTAACTCAGACGCACAAGTTGCAAGCCAAGCCACATTTAAAAGAATATCGGGCAGCTATTGTTCAGCGACAGGTCGTCTATGCCATGCAACGGGATGAGCAGAAAATACGTTTTCTCCAACAGAAGGAAGAGTTGGAGGCGAAAATGTCAAGCATTGACGATGAAAGTGAACGCATTAAAACATTTTGGGATTCCAAAAGTGAAAATTGTCCAGAAATACGTATCGAAATGGCAAAATACCAAAAACAGTGTCGTCAAAAAGAAAATTGCAATGGGGTTGATAAACCTATTAAGAAAAATCCAACATTGTTTGCTCCCTGTGGTCGCCCATATAATCTTAATAAACCGGATTTAACTTTCAGATTGAAGGATGAAGCTAATGAATATATTTTGGAATTGGATGTTTATAAGTATGTACAGAATAGAATACTTCACAACTATAAATAATTTCACCTCAAGTTTTTAACATATGTCTACTCTTTTTGCTTCTTCTATCATAACTTAATTATAATTTCAGATATCTCGAAACGTCACACCTAAAAGTGGATGTGGAAATCAACTATATTCGAGTTGTGGTAAAAGGAAAAATATTTCAAATAGCCTTAAACGAAGAAGTTAAACCGTCCGAGTCAATTGTTCAACGTTCTCAAATCACCGGCCAATTAGTTATTACAGCACCTAAATTAAATGAGAATAAACTATTGTCTATGAAATCTGAAGGTGAGTTATGGGAATATAGTTGCAACCATTTTATAGGTACAAGGTACAGCATAGCTACCATCATCAAATTTTTCATTGTTTTACGTAAATCGTCACTAATTTGACAAATATTTTCCGGATGTATTTAAAACTTAAGGGGACCTCCCAATCTCTGGGTCAAACTTTTTGATATAATTCGAATCTACACTAAATAAAATATGTCCCTACAAAATTTCAAGTGAAAATCTCAAGAACTCTTAAAGATATAGCCGATTTATCAAGTGACGGCTGAAGGGCTTTTCAAACTTTAAACGAGTTTTTCTCTAAACATTTTTTGTGAATGGCAGGCACGATAACTCAAAAACTAATAACCCAATCGATTCCAAATTTTTACATGTTTCTCTGTGAGTGCATAGCTATCGTATGAACTAGGATAAAGCCAATCGGTGAAGATCTTCCTTATTTTTTAACTTGATTTTTGGTAAAAAATCTGCGATATTACAAAAATATTTTTTCAGAGGTCCTCCATTTTGTTAATTTTAGAGCGAAGTCAATAATCATAGTTCATACCAGAGCCAGACATGTACTCTTCTAACACCGTTGCAATTTTCGGATTCCGATGTTCCAGTGAGGAGTTATCATGCCCGCCACAAAAAATCCCTTAATCCCTTAAATGAGAATTAATTGATGATGTATGATAAAACACGCCCGGTGTAAATGCGCTTTAAGTATTTTTGGTTTATTATTTGACCACGTGTCCGTCTTTGCCATAAATAACCAGTAAGGAAAGTAGTAAAGTCGGACTGGGACGACTATATGATACCCTTCACCACTTTGGGTATATTCAACAGATGTATCCTATCGATGCACCAATTATATAAAACCGGACGAAAATATATATGGGAGCTACATTTAAATCTGAACCGATTTTCACGAAATTTAGCTCACGTCATTCTAAACTTAATTCAGTACGCTATGACAAATTTCGTGCAAATGGAATGATTTTCAAAGACTTTGGTGCACCATTTACCTAAAATCGGGCGTATATATATATATATATATATATATATGGGAGCTTTATATACATCTGAACCGATTTTCATGAAACTTGGAAATTCAGCACGCTATGCCAAATTTCGTGCAAAGATATATAGGGTCTTAAAAGCACCAATTACCTTAGATGAAAATATATGTGGAATCTATATCCAAATTTGAACCGATTTCAACGAAACTTTTCACAGGTTGGGTTATACTAATTTCAGTACGTTTTGTTCTTTCAATCATATATTGGTTCCTTGGTGTGTCAATTACTTAAAATCAATCGATCTATGCAATATTAGAACTTTGGTACATTATTTACATTAAAGCTGACGGAAATATATATATATATATATATATATCTTAATCTGAACCGATTTTCACGAAACTCAGCACACATCATTACAGGAAACTTGGCATAAAGCACTCTAGGCTCTATTAAGTACGTTATGCCAAATTTCGTGCAAATCGAAATATATATAGGGACTTTGGTGCATCACTTACATAAAATCGGACGAAACTATATATGGGAGCTATATCTAAATCTGGACCGATTTTCACGAAACTTGGCTGACATTATTCTAGACTTAATTCATTACGCTGTGCCAAATTTCGTGCAAATCGAACGATATATAGGGACTTTGGTGCACCATTTACCTTAAATCGGACGAAAAAATATATAGGAGCTATATCTAAATCTGAACCGATTTTTCTCAATTTCAATAGGGTTCGTCCCTGGGCCAAATAAGTAAACTGTGCCAAATTTCATCCAAATCGGATCATAAATGCGACCTGTACTTTGTTCACAAAAATACATGGACAGACGGACAGACGGACATGCGTAAATCGACTCAGAAAGTGATTCTATGCATATTCTCAAAAGTAACTATGGGTCTATCTCGATTCCTTTTGCCTGTTACAAACATATGCACAAAGACATAATACCCTGTACCACAGTGTGGTGAAGGGTATAAAAAGTTGAGAAGAGTCGCAAAACAATTGTCGAACATATAAATCTATTGGCGAAAACGGTTTGTGTTTTTGCTAATATCTATCAAAAATGTCGTTTGTAAACGCAGGATAATTTACTATTTACTAGACAATTGGCCATGTATAAACATATTGGTTAAATGGGTTTGTATCTTTGCTGTCTAAATGACTTGCACCAATATTCCACATGATTTCCTATACATACAGGGGTAATTTTTAGATTATTTTAGGGCGGACTTGGCCCGATTATACTAGGTTTTAATAAAATCACATCATATCGTTAAATTTATTTTTATATTTATATAAAATATTAAATATTAATTTTCAGAAAAATCTTTGGGCATATCTAATAGGGAATATGCAACACGAAAGTAAGTATGCGAATTTAACTAAAGGGCAAAACACATACAAGGATTCAGGCCTGGCCTCTTATGTTGGTTTTGAATGAAATTTCAATTTATAAAGAAATATTAGAGTCAAATTTTATTTTGAACGCCATTTTCCTTTATTTTTTTACAATAAAATAAGCCAACTAAACATGCCAAAATCCTCTTATGTGTTTCACCCTTAATTGTCTTCTTTATTTTAATATATTATCCTCTCCTTTCCAGAAAATCGACGCTAAAAGGAACTGTTGATATAAAGAATATTTGCAATAATGCGAACAATGATGAAATACCTGATCTAATTTAAATCATTTATTTGATTTGTAGCAATATTAACAACAATTGCTGAATAAATATTGAATTTGTACTTGTTTTCTTATATAAATTCGAATTTGTGAATTTGTACGTAATATGATGATTTGTGAATTTAGCTTGAAAATTTTATATAAATTTCTTTAAATAAGTATTTTAGGAATCCGATACGCCAAATTATAGCCACCTCGATGAGAAAATTCGTGGGGCGTTTTATCAAAACTTGGACCTATATAGAAAAAATTCCGCAAACATGTGTTTTACCTTCCAATATCCCGAAATTCAAATTACAGTCATATAAGTATGTCAGTCATTAAGAACCCTTATACCAAATTACAGCCATATCGATGGGAAAATACGACTTAAGTCTCAAGAAATAAAAACGTCGCCCGGACGAACTTTGTATAACCTCCACCACGTGAACTGCACTCAAAAATTGTTAAGTCGATGGAGGCATTTATGTGGGGACTATGTTATGGTCTTATGCGATTTTGGGTTGTTCAATAGTGTTCCAAATTACAGAAACAACGGAACATTTATTAATTCAATTTTTATTTATCAGGAACGCCAGAAATACGATATAATTATAGCCACTTCTATGAGAAAATTCGTTTACAAATTTATTAATACCGAAAGAGCATTAATCATTTTTAGTAGGGAGTTTTTTTTATCAAATGAGAATCAAAAATATAAAATTACAGATAATTTCGATGAAGCACGTGTCCAAGCTCCTCAAAATACCGAAATTTGGGATGTAGCATTATATGGCGGATTTCCTAAAAAAATATTTATCAACATTTGTAGAAACATCTGACATCCCATGAAAATCCTTAAAAATGAAATTAGAGTTATATTTGTTAAGAAATACCGAATTATAGGGGGGTTACAATCATATGTTGGCTACTAGAGAACACTGGTCCATGTTGATTATTTTTATTAGGGACATTTTCTACTCAATGAGAATCCCGAATCGGTTGAAACGCGTACTCAAGCTCACCAAAATACCGATTTTGGGGGTCTTTTGGGATCTTTGGAGGCTTTCCTAAGAGGTGGACCAGTATTGAAATTTTTTAGTATTTTCATTGCAAAACTTAGATCATCAAGCTCGACTCGAAAGAGTATAAATAATCATTTAAATATTAAGATTTACTATCACATACCACAACCCCCCTACTATCCACGTTTTGGTGTTAATAAAACAAACCTGAAGAGTTTAGTGCGCCATTCACCTAATATCGGACGAAAATATATGGGAGCTATATTTAAATCTGAACCAATTTCGTGCAAACTTACCAGACGTAATTGTAGACCCATTTCGATACGTTTCGCATAATGTTGTGTCAATCGGGCAAAATATTACCGACTTAAAAAAAAAAAGAATTGACACATGTTAGGCTATACTAACGTTAGTACGTTGTGCAAAATTTTATGTCAATCGGCCTAAATTTGATTCATTGGTGCCCAATTTACTAAAATCTTGGCATACCTTCGGCTTCGGGCGCCGTTATATGGAGGCTACCTGAAGCATAAGTCAATATTGATGATCTGATGGCCAAAATGAATCTGTTGGAAAACGTGTCTAAAACCTCCAAAATACTAATATTGATCCTTTTCCGTAGGAAGATTTTATATCCAATGAGTTGCAAACGTAGAAATTACAGTCAATTAATTTGAAAGAAAAAACATGTCAAAAACACCCATAATACCGAATATTTGGGTGTATCGTTATACGAGGGATATACCACAACGTGGAGCGATATACCCCACTATCAATACCAATCATCCAAGGACTAATAACAATGTCAGTGTAAAATTTCTATATCAAATATTGGTATTTCAAGAAACATACGGAAACGTGTAAATCGGCAAAGAATTTTATTCTGATCAAGAATATATATGGGCAATATTGCCAATTTTTTAATATTCCATTTTAAAAAAATCAGCTTTTTTGTTTTTGTGGCACATCAATGATTTTTGGTAACGAAACCGTTCGCAATCAAATTTTTGGTTGATGTGCGCAAAAGTTATCGAGGTTTTTATTTTGGGCATAAGAAACAAATCTTAAAATTACGCCGTTTATTATATTGACCAAAACGTTGATATAGATCTTCCTCCGTAAAATAAGAATATGAATATATTATAATAATCGCGATAAAGTTTCACATCTGCGCGAAATATGAGAAAAATAAAAATATATATGTGAGATTACATCAATATTTTCTTTATATTTATGACATACACACACCTAAAAATAAATTTAAAAATATCTACATAATCTAAACACCATGACGAATGAAATGATATCAAAGTCACACAAGTCCGTGTAGCGGTTTGTAACTCACAGCAACAATAAAACAAGATATTGAGGAAAAATATTTGTTTTTGGTTCGAAAAAATAATTTCAGAAAAAAGTTTTTTACCCGAATTTCGCCGAAAAATGTACATATGTATATAATAATCGGGCATGTTCTGGTATTCACTTCAACGGCAGAAGTGTATCGAACACACGCCGAGGTGTTCTGTAACACACTTTACACCCATTTGAGGTGTATTCTTTACACTTACATTTCCATAGTGAGAGTCGGGTGTATTCCTGTTTTTTCATATAAAAGAAAATCTTTTTTGAAATAAAAAACGCACATTATGATAGATTGATTTGTTATTATTGCGTATAATTTGTTTAAAATCACAAAATGAACATGAAACACCATTAACAACAAATTTTAAATAGATACTAAGGTTTATCTTAAATTTTCTTCAATTGAATTTCTTGCTTGACACAAACAACTGATTTGAAGTAAGGCCGAAAAAGATAGGGTTACCAAATGTTCCCCTTAAATCAATCAAGAAATTAATGTTATTACAGAGGTTTCATACATATATTTTATGTTGCGAATAAAAAATATTAAAAAAAATAATAATAAAATTGTCGTTAGAATTAAAGAAATTACTAAAAAATTACAGAAACAATGTTAAAAACGAATACAGTTTATATTGAATGGCAACACTATTTCTGCAAAGTACCATGTCGACGTTTATTTTTGTCGCAGTTCAAAATTTAAATTCACGTGAGAAGCAGAACAGGAGGTAGCTTCTGAGGTGAAGTGTATGTGTAAAGTGAAAAGAACACGCCGTGAGTTCCAGAACATACCCGAATAACTTTTTGTGTATACGCCTTGCGGATTATATCAAGACCCTTCCGATAAATCTTAGGGTTCTACAAATAGGAATAAATCTTAAAATAAAATAATATTATGAAATATACATTTTAAATTGCGTCTAAATCGCGTAATTCTCAAAATCATTTGATGCGCATGCGGTTTCCATGAAGTATTGATGTTTATCTTTAAATCCATATATATTTTGCGAAATTTCATTTGACGCCTAAGATGTGCCACACGTTGCATTGAAGTACCAAAAAATTTTAAAAACGCGAATAATTTCCAAAAACACCATATGCCATTAACGCGCATCCGATTTCGGTGTGCACCCTAAAAAAATACATCGATCTATACCGATTTCTATGTGGTCCATTAAGAACCATGGATGTGCCAGCTTACACCATTTTTGAGATAAATTGGGAACATCTCTCTTTCGGCTGAAGTTTTTAAAGTTCTCTTTTCGAAAAAGATCAAAATCCATATGAGGTCATTTATTGAAGCGGAAATAAATCCGCGATATTTTCAATAACAGTTTTTGCCAAATTTCGTGTTTTTGGAAGGCCAGTTCCCGCCGTTCTAGTAGATGGATTTTCACGAAGAAGATTTTATATCATCCGAAACGTAAAAAGCCTTATTGATCGCGAGTACCCATATCATTCAGTTGACAGATCTAAAAATTTGGCCCGAAAAATAGGTTTTTTAGAAATTTGATCGCACAAAATTTCCACCTTCGGGTGAGTATTACTCTGAGGCTGTGTATAATACATACACAAAATATATATCAAATTACTCAGATTCGCGACTACAATAATCTTATAATCGATTTTTAGAAAATCCTGTTTGCGCATTAAAACTAGAAGTAAAATTCAAAAAACAGTCAAAATCGAGCTTCAAAATGTCAGCACCATTTAAATGTAGATGCAATTAAAATTTTGAAAAATGATACATAAGGGACGTAGTCCCCATTTTGTTGTCTCATAGTTTTACTTTGACACGAAGACCGTGAAATGAGTGGCTTAATCACAAATCGATAGAGAACATAAAAAAACTGGTTCGCCTCAACCCGTTTTTACATTAAAGTAGACACAGCTTCCACGCATATACAGTAGGAGGTCAATATCATGAACAGTCTGCAACGACAGTTCAATTAACCCAAAACTATTCACATTTTTCATATACTTAAGTAATTCCCGAGTTATAATGAGGTGAACCTCCGCTTCAGCTATGTTAAAAAATTGGCAATATTGCCCATATATACCTTATGGGGTCTCCGGTGAATATTTCGATGTATAGCAAACGGAATGACAAATTTAATGTGCATGTAAATAACTTAGTGTCCGATCTTCTCATCCAAAAAAAAAATGGTGTTTGACTTAAGGATATGGATATATACCAATGAAGCCCGCCCATCAGTATACTTTAAAGTAGCTGCCTACTCACACGCATTGTTATGCTCTTTCATTCAGTCGTTGTTTGACAGCCAACGAATGAACACAAGCTGGGGTGCGCGCACGACATCGTGTCCACACAACTAGAGAATCAACGAAATCACACTTAGGGATAAAAGTATTTCAGTATATTTTATTATTCAAAATGCGTTTGGGAAGGCGCAATGTTTTGTATGTTTTAAAACTTTTAAAGACAACAGAACATCACATTATCAAATATTTAATTATTTCAAGAATTAAATATTTGATAATATGACTATTATCTCAGTATATGCTACTTTATAAACTTTATTTGATTTTTGTAACATATACAATTTGTAATTCATATAAAAACATTTTTAATAATGCTTTTGATCTATATTATAACAAACATTAAATTCATCGAT